TTAATTTGGTCCAGGAATTGTGTTGGGGATTTGATGGAGTGTTTGGCTGAATCTACTAGATGTCTCAGTATTCGTGAAATTTCTTTTGACAAATTGTACGTTGGCGTTCCAGGGAGTGCTACTATTGGACGTAGTGGAATGTTCGGTTTGTGTATTTTGGGCCTGCCGTAGAATCGAGGGAGTACTGGTCCACTGGATTTCATTCTCCATTGGTCTTGTTTTGTTATTTCTCCTGCTTTGACTAGCTTGTTTAAAGTCTTTGAGATTTGGTTGTCTAATTTTTTGACGGGATTTGTGTCCATCAGTTTGTATGTGCTCTTATCTTTGAGTAGTTCTTCGGCTTTGTTGACGTATTCTTCTTTGTCCATGATTACTGTGGTGCGTCCTTTGTCCGCTGGTATTATGACAATATCCTTTCTATTTCTGAGTTCTTTCAAGGCCTTTTGTTCTTGTGGAGTCAGTTGGTTGTTTTCTTTCACCTGTTGAGTTATCGGTACTATAGTTTGCCTTATTTCCTGTTGTGTTTCTTCACTGATTCCGGAAGTTTTGAGTGATGACTCTAGTGCTGCGAAGAACTCCAGCTTTGAGGCATCGCTTGTATTGTAGTTTAATCCTTTTTGGAGCAGCTGTTCTTCCGTATTTGTTAGTGGTTGTTTTGACAGATTGATCACGCAGTTGTTTGTGTTTTCTTCCATGGGTGGTTTGGAGATCTTGATTAGTTTTTTCTTTAAGGTGTTTCTTCTTTGTTCTCTATGTCGTTTGCATGATATCTCGATGGATCCGCAAATACCAGCACGTCATAGAAGACCAAAAGATAAAGCTACAAAGGATGCTCACATCAGAACATTTAGACATCGTGACAACAGCCATCGAGATATCATGCAAACGACATAGAGAACAAAGAAGAAACACCTTAAAGAAAAAACTAATCAAGATCTCCAAACCACCCATGGAAGAAAACACAAACAACTGCGTGATCAATCTGTCAAAACAACCACTAACAAATACGGAAGAACAGCTGCTCCAAAAAGGATTAAACTACAATACAAGCGATGCCTCAAAGCTGGAGTTCTTCGCAGCACTAGAGTCATCACTCAAAACTTCCGGAATCAGTGAAGAAACACAACAGGAAATAAGGCAAACTATAGTACCGATAACTCAACAGGTGAAAGAAAACAACCAACTGACTCCACAAGAACAAAAGGCCTTGAAAGAACTCAGAAATAGAAAGGATATTGTCATAATACCAGCGGACAAAGGACGCACCACAGTAATCATGGACAAAGAAGAATACGTCAACAAAGCCGAAGAACTACTCAAAGATAAGAGCACATACAAACTGATGGACACAAATCCCGTCAAAAAATTAGACAACCAAATCTCAAAGACTTTAAACAAGCTAGTCAAAGCAGGAGAAATAACAAAACAAGACCAATGGAGAATGAAATCCAGTGGACCAGTACTCCCTCGATTCTACGGCAGGCCCAAAATACACAAACCGAACATTCCACTACGTCCAATAGTAGCACTCCCTGGAACGCCAACGTACAATTTGTCAAAAGAAATTTCACGAATACTGAGACATCTAGTAGATTCAGCCAAACACTCCATCAAATCCCCAACACAATTCTTGGACCAAATTAAGGACATTCAAATCAACAACGACGAACTCATGATATCCTTCGACGTAACAGCACTGTTCACCTCAATTGAACCACAGTTAGCAAAAGAAACTATATCCCTGCTACTCAACAACGACACAAATCTCACCAAATACACGACGCTTCAAATTCAAAGTCTACTGGAGCTCATCGATTTATGCCTAACAACATATTTCCAATTCAACAACAAAATCTACAAACAAACAAAAGGGACACCAATGGGATCGCCAATATCAGGACTGATTGCAGAAGCAGTGATGCAAAGACTAGAAGCCACGATATTACCAGTGATCAAGCCAAAAATTTGGATTCGCTACGTAGACGACACCTTCGTCATCGTCAAAAAGGATGAACTGGAAAACACATACAAATTGATCAACAACGTCTTCAATGACATCAAGTTCACAATGGAACAGGAGTCAAACAACCAACTAGCATTTTTGGATATATTGATCACTAGAACTGATACAGGAAAACTGGAAACTCAAGTATATAGGAAACCAACCCATACAGATCAAATTCTCAACTACAACAGCAACAACCCAAGGGCTCACAAAATCAACTGCGTACACACACTGTTCAAGAGGGCGAGGACACACTGCAGCACACTGGCAGCACGAAGAAATGAAGAGAAATACCTGAAGGACATATTTCAAAAGAACGGCTACCCAATCAACTTCATCAAAAAGCACCAACGGCACACAGCATCACAACCCAAGTCAAGCACAAAAATCAGTAAAAGGATCACCCTACCGTACATACAAGGAATATCAGAAACTGCAACGAGGCTGCTGAAAACCTTCGGGATAGGTGTGGCACACAAACCAACAAAATCACTACAATCAATCTTATGCAAACCAAAAGATGAAATAACAAAGGAGAACAAATCAAACATTATTTACAAAATAAATTGTACCAACTGCGACAAACACTACATCGGACAAAGCGGACGTCCCCTCCACCTACGCCTACATGAACATCGATTAGCAGTCAAACGCCATGATATCTCCTCACTTATTTCAATACACGTGGATAACTACGGACACTCATTCGATTGGGAAAATGTAGAAATCTTAGACAGAGGAAACTCCAAAAACACCAGAGAATTTCTAGAAGCCTGGCACTCAGGTCAATCAGCAATCAACAAACATATTGAAATCAATCCAATTTATCAACCAATCAGGAAAATCATGCATATATATAAGAACAAAAATCAAAACAATGGGAGACACAACCAAAACAAAGAAGTGAACAATGATAAATTTAAGGTCAACAAGAACCAATCAACATCGAGGTGCACAGAACAAGCTGTGAAACACATAAGGAGAAAATCGAACACTTCACTTCTATCTGAAGTTTGTGCTGATGATGTCGTTCAGAAGAACGATGAAAGCTCCACGACCAAACCATCCAGCTCAGAGAACAAAACTCCATCAAAATCATCCACCTGAGCTACAAATCTTCTCCACCATATTCAACAGTTGACACGAACAGAAGGTTAACTATGGAGAACGCGGGAACACTAATTCAATGTATCGGATGTCAGGGCTCAGCCTTGCAGGCGTGGTCATCCTTGTGTAACTTTTTTATTCATATTAAATATATTGCTCTATCCTCAGCCTAAATGTGCTTGTTAAATAGTCCAGTTATATCACTAATTGTCACGATACGATAAGTCAGGGTAGACAATGATGTGACTTCCACGAAAGATTTTATACATTAGGTAGTCACATCATGACACATCTACAATTTTATGATCAAGTCTACTATTAGAAGAGTACTAATGACGAAGTGGGCCACAATTCTACAATTTCTGAACATATGATCGAAACCAGGTGTGCAAATAATTCCTTTAGGCTGGATGCAACTGCAGTCTGAAAATTGACTGAATCAGTCTGTAGAAAAAAGGGAACATAATTTTGGAAATTTCACACCAATAAGAGCCGAAAGAAACTAGGAGCGTGAAGATGGGGGAGTAGCATTGTCTGTCAGAAACACTATCACTCTTACCGTTGCCGAAAACATATCCCATGAAGATAGGATAGAAGAACAGATGTGGCTTGATTGCGGTCTGCAAGTTACCTGTTGATAGCTTGGATCTGACATCCCTTAATGATTTTTGTCTCACGAAACCGAAGTTTTATGAGGACGCTCTAACGATGTTCCCTAGCGCAGAACAAATTAGTTGTCAGCTGACTATCGATGCTCAAGGGAAATTATGGGTAGATGAAAATGCTTACTTCAATATATGTTTGAAGCTCCATCTGCCGACGCAATAAAAATGAATTGTGATCAACTGGAAGATCATCATCGCTAGGACTAACAAAGACAAGGTAGTCTCCTGTCCTTTCCAAACTGAAGCTGAAACTGAAAGAGCATGCAATGTTTTGGTGGTTTGTAGTAAGCAAGTCATGGAACTTCCCACCAAACGATGCGGAGATGGTGCTATCTGTCAACTCTCCTTGAAAAAAGCTCAAAGGTTATCATTGTTCTTTAGGTAGTAAGATGGATTACTGTAAAAGTTATTCATCAGTTCCTTATGTTATTAATTTTCAAGTATATAGCTCATCTGTTTTCAAAAGAAATATAACAAGATCAATAGCCATACAAAAATAAGCTTCCCCCATCCCATGGGCAAAACAGTCAATTCTGTCTAGTAAAAGTGTCTACATGACCTTTGGGAGTACAGAGGTAAATAGGTACAGCATAGGGGAAGTACCTGTACCTGTGTTCCGGCCTCATAAGGATTTTGGGGTGACAGTGGGTCATGATATTATGACCAAGACCCACTGCCGGGAGCTTGCAGCTAAGAGGTTTAGAACACTGTGGGCTTTAAGACGGACATTCGCCAAGTTAGATATTGCCATGTTCATTACAATATACACAACCCGGTTAAATAGGTGACTTGGATATCCTGGAAAAAATACGGAGGACAGCTACTCCTGTAGATCCCGGACCTCGGGGTTTTCCATTCAAATATGTGCTTGAAAAGCTAGACCTCTTTACTCTGTCCTACAGCAGAGTTGGTGACCTGATTTTCACTCATATAATATCTAGAAATGAGTTTGGGCCTGACTTATTCTCTCTTGTTCTTCCTACCAGATCGGAACGACTTAAGGGACAAAGCAGGTGAGTAGAAAAACCAAGAACGAACAAAATAGCTGTGGTATAAAGGTTTTCTCACCGAGTCATCGATTCTTGAAACCTGTTGCCCGGAGCGGCGGCGTTCATACCTTCAATTGACTCATTCAAGAAAAAGATAGACACTCAGAGAAGCATTCTAGAAGAGGAATAACATAGGCTGTAGGCCTTCTGTTCCAATTACACTGATCTGATTCTGAACGGAATAGCGCTATATTCCAGTAGTACGCTACATCTGGGCGTCAGTGCTTATTTTGTGTCACGGTCGTGCCATGTGTCCATAATTGATTGTCAAAGCAGCGGTGACTTAAAAACTGTTTTTTTGTTGAAATACCAAACTTTAAGCTCCAATGAATAATAGATTTCACATTTAAAAATGGTGTTGCCCTCATAGTTAAGTGGAAGAAGTATAGTGTGGACGAATTCTCAGCTAGTTATTAACCCTGAAAACAGCTTTATTAAGTGGTTAGTTTGCGGCAAAAAGATAGTTATGTGAATGCTAGATAGATTTCACATAGTTAATAAGTCTGGATGTCTTCTACAGGTTACTCTGCCTGTTAAGCGAAAAATTATCAAGAGGTCTTTCCCTTTGAATATCAGCTCTCCGTCTTCTCAAATTTTGAAGAGGATGAAAACAGTTAACTAGGGTGGGGATTAGAGGTTTAGAATTTTCATCTAGAAAGGGACATTGGCTATAATGCAGACATGTTCTGTAGCCAGGAAGATGAATGATTTCAGCGCAAAGCATAGAGTTGTTTATGTGCTTAGTTTGTCCTAAAAACGATTTTTCATGGTTTAAGGTTTAGGGGTGTTATTGATTTGCCCGTTATATTCAATTTACAGGAACATTCGTCGGTATTTGATGGACTTAATAAGAAGGTAGTACACCTACGTCAATTATACACCTATACTTTAAAAAAAACATCTAAATCTCATCGTAGGTAGTTCGGGTTAAGTATCCATCTCTTAATCAACGGGCAAGTACACTTCACGATCGTTTCGTATTACAACTGCAGAACATGTCTTATGAAGGTTGAAGAGGCATCCTTAACCCATTGCTTGTGTATGAAAAAAGTACTTATTGAGGGCAATCTTAACCATTTCCTCCATTGACGCCTAACTCTGACTGGTATAGAAATAAGTTGATAGAATGCTGAGTGGTTAGATGAAGTTATGACACTTCACGAGACCACTGATCTTAATCTAAGTCTCATCGTTAGGTGAAGATTTCTTGGTAGGGATCTACACAATATTCGTGATCAATAGGTGACTTGTAAAAGGATGCGAAACTGTCCATTACAGTGCTTTCCCCCTCTCAGTTGGTAGTTTCATTTGACACAACTAGTACTAGATTATTACCAATTTTGTTTACTTCGTAGACCGATCGAGTTGTGTAATTTTTAATCGATAATGCGATATCAAAAAGTAACGTAAGTAATGCTTATGGGATTTCAAGCACACTATAACAACAGACTAAATGTGTGAGAAAACGAAAAATTTATGTCACGTCGATTAGGAGAAGTGATTAATAGTATTTGCACCGAATAAATATTGTCCATAAACAATCTAATTAGATGGCCAGCCATACATAAAAGCGGATATGTATTCATAAAATGTACGTAATTAGTTCACAATTAGTAGGTCGGTGGTTAATGCTTTTGTCTTTTTTTCCACTAAATCTGGATCCACCTACTTCGGTTTGAGTAACCGGGTAGTATAATTAGCCCTTACACCTTAAGTGTGACTCACCAAAATACCTACTGAATAAGTTGATTGATTTTTTCCCGAAACTAGTCATTATTAACAGACAATAACGATTGAAATAAAATAATTCATTTCAGGTTGCATACTCATCTGGCTTCATACCAGTTCACAGAAGTAGGGGGTTACACAGTCTTGTCATAATTAAGGTTAGTTGGATTCGGTATGCTAACTAGTAATACTCATAGCTGTCCAATTCGTGCCCAAGTGGTCAAGTATGTACCATTATTAAAGTAAAAAAGAACTGGGTAAACACGATCTAAGGCATTTTATTTGCAACTTGAATCAAGCGCGGAATAATGTACAGTTGGTATAGGACCTGGCACAAATGTACACTAGTCCAAATTACCACTCTGTATCAGCATAGCGAGATGAAATTGACAAAATGAATGTCGAGGCAGCAGAAGTATTAATGCTGGTAAATATAACAAATAGAGAACATTGTTCGAAAAGACATAAATGTACAGAATAAAAAGTATATAAATATATATTGAAACCCAATATTTAGGGCTAAATAAAAATTCACCTATCTTAGTGCTATTGATTTTAAGCCATCACTCGACGTAGGCAGTCTATATCTACGAACATGGCCTATAATATGGGTTAATAACCTCATAAAATGATTACGCGCCTTGCTATGAGTACCCTTAGATTTTCTCCAACTTGCTGTCAGTTAGGATTGCGCGTCTCGATAGGTGGTGCTTATGGCACATGTACTACATGTTTCAACATCAAACCTTACATTTAAAAAGCTTGCTAATGCTCCACTATCATATTATTGTTAAAATAATTTTAATCAGCTTTGAGGCTTTTTTATAAGTCCATTAACCTTTGAAGTTCTTTTACTCAAGATTGTTGTTGAGATTTAGTGTTTTTCTCCTTTAGTCACCTTATTCAATGTCAGTACGTATAGAAAAGACACCCTTTACAAATTGCAATGAGAATCTTATTCAGAGTCACGAATTCGATGAAGAGTCTCAGAAAAATGAAGATAGTCGCAAATCTATAGAAGTTGCCGAGTATTTACTGGATAAAAAGCTCTTTTTGTCTGCTCTCGAGTACTATTTTGAACAGTTGGAGCGTGGTAAAAGTATAAAGCTTTTGCATGAGTTCTTCACTAGTCCAAATTTTGTTGAAAATTTGAACTTATCTTCTGTGGAGTCATCCAGTTTGTTGATGGGTAAGCAAATATGTTTTTTTTGATTATGTATGTAGGGAAATATCCAAGCCTATCCTCTTTGGATTCGTCAGATATTGGACGGATATCAGATGATGGGAATACACTTGAAGAAAAACTAAAAGGTATCTTTTTTAAATTCTAAAGTAAATCACGCCTGTTTACTTTTCTTCTAGTACTTGAATATGAGTTGCGCAAAAAGAATGATGAAATAAGTTCATTACGGAATGAGTTAACCAGTTTGGTAGCATGCGGATATAAAGGTGATGTACAATATTCACAAACTTCAGGTAATTCTATTTACAAATTATTGTTGCTCAACTTTATGTATTATGGAAATAAGTGTAGTTTTAATTCTTCTTTTCCGAAACAAGAAGTGAGCTGCTTACTTAGTCTAAATTTGTGTTAAAATGATAACAAAATCACTTTCACAGTTCCATGGATTAGAAAAGCGAGGTTACAGAACACTCAATAAAACCATTTTTATTTTTATCATAAGGATACTTAAAGTATGAAATATTAAGACACCTTTGAACTACAATTATGATGTTAAAGGCTAGATATATACTAATCAAATGTAGGTCACAAAATTGATGCCTACAGCTTCACAGTCTTTAACAGATGTACGCTTCTTTTTTTCCACTGATTGTTTCGAATAATTCGATGTAAAACGCCTTGAGTCCATTGGTCAGTCGAATGCAACATAGAACCTGGTATGTATGTACATCTTTCCAAGTTCTCATAACCGATTATCACGGCAAGATAAAATTGTTTAGGCAAATCGCAGAGGTAGTAACAGTACTAGCGATAATAAAACAGATTAAGCATCGAAGATACGATTCGTGGAGGAAATATAAATTAATAAAATAAAAAAATTATAAGGAATTTAGAAACCTAAAACCTAGGTAAATACAAAGAGTGGATGTACTTGCGCCATCACAGACAATTTGGAGCAATGTCATTCAAAATTTCTAACCGCTAGTTACGATAATTAAGCTTACCTTGGTCAGGTATGTACTGCACATCTATTTCATAGTTCAATGACTGATGGTACATTTTGGTTTGGCCTCCCTTAGCTTTCTTCTAGCCTACTCTTACACCAGATGACATCGCCGGCCGAAGTAGGCGGTTACTCTATGCTCCCGAAATACACGAGCTAATCGAGCCTTCTAAATTCGTGCTGAGATTTCGTCAGGTACCAAACCATAAGGATCTATGGAAATGAAGTAGTCGATGCTCCCAACTACTTCACTCACTACCGTTAATTTAGGTGGTGACACAAACAATTCCTGAAGTAACATTTAACATTTGGAGGGAGAGAATCGCATCCCAAACATGCATTTTGAAGCTTAGCTTCAACAAAATGTAACTAGTAGTAAATTCATTGGGTTATAATTCTCAATTCCTGTTTAGTTGTACACTAATTATCGAAGGCGGTAAATCATGCTGTAGTTAAATACTTTGTTATCGGGTGTGTCTAGTAATATTGAAAATGTATTCATCGTGCCCTATAAGCTTTATTTTTGTCGAAAGGTATTTGGACCTTAGTTCATGTAGCTTTGTTTGAAAACGACTGATTAAAATGCAAGTACTTGAAAGAACTGCGGTCTCTGGGTCTAGAAAAAGTAATTTATTTATTGTTTTATTATTTGGACACATGAATATTGGTACAAGAGAGCGCCAATATATATGCGCCACACAAAACAATGAAAATTCGAGAGGAATACAAAGAAAGAAAAAGAGAAAAAAAAAGCTAAGGAGCGCAACAAAAAAAAGAGAGAACAATGACGAAGAGATTGGTGTAAGGTAATGTGCTAGTAATCAGGGAACGCAAAGGTACAATCGGAAGAAATCTTTCAGGTAAGGGAGACAGAACCACTTTTTATGAAGAAAGTAAAAGAAGGTTACAGCAGGATCGCCACTGGCTTCTATTCTGAGCCATATCTGATAACGTCTCTAGCCACTGTGTTGCACCATCTCTCAGACCCCAACCAGGGAGTCGTGAAGGACCAACACAAGCCAGTCCTTTGCAGCTTTCTTTCATACCACGACACCATGTCATGCACTGACCACCTCTCTGCTTCTTCCAACCAGTCCCAGAGTCGGCAAATAATGCACGACGTGGAATTCTCTGAGACGACATTCGTAGAACATGTCCAAGCCACCGAAGTCGGTGTTTCAAGATGATAACACCAATTGAATTATCATCTCTGTGCCCGGACACACGATGCCGAACCTCTGCATTACTGACATGGTGTTGCCACTGAATGTCAGCAATCCTTCGGAGACAGCGATGATCGAACACAGAGTCGTCTAACGTCCTCAACTCGGAGAGGCCAGGTTTCACAAGCATAGAGCAAAACTGCTCTCACCGACGCGTTGTAGATCCGACCTTTTGCAGCCAGACTAACATCACGAAGGCGCCAAAGATGGCCCAGATTCGCATAAGCCGCTCTGGCTTTCACTATACGTGCATTGATCTCATCACTCACACCTCCACCAGCACTTATGCAGCTACCCAGATACACGAACTTCTCGACTACGTCTATCTGCTCACCATCCACGGTGAGTACAGGATTGGAATCCTGCCAGTCTTGTAGGAGTACTTTGCACTTCGAAGGTGCAAAGCACATACCATACCTACGGACACTGATTGCCAACTGATTAAGTGCGGATTGCATGGCTTGGGCATTATCGCACAGTAAGACAATATCGTCCGCATACTCAAGGTCGAGAAGTCTTTCTCCAGGCAACAGATCCACACCGCCATTACTTACATTCATCAGAACTGTTTCCAGAATGTCATCGATGGCAAAGTTGAAGAGGAATGGTGAGATTGGGTAACCCTGCCTAACCCCACTACTTGAATGGAACAATGGAGAGAGGTGGTTGTATGCCCTCACTCTGCCTGAGGTGTTTTTATATAGGGCTTTTAGGATGTTAATAAACTTCTCAGGCACACCCTTCTTCAATAGACAATCCCAGAAAACAGTCCTATCCAACGAATCGAAGGCAGCCCTGATGTCAAGAAACACTACGATTGTTGGCCTTTGATAAGTATGGCGATGTTCTAACATTTGGCGGAGGGTGAAGATATGATCAATACATCGTCGACCAGAACGAAACCCAGCCTGCTCCTCACGAGTCAATCTTTCTCGGGTTTTGAACAACCTACGAAGTATGATGGAAGCCAATAGATTGGACGCAATCGGAAGTAGACTTATCCCCCGATAGTTGTTGCAGGAACGACGTGAACCCTTTTTAAAGATAGGGACAACTATGTCTCAAATTATTTTAACTGAACTCAGAATTAAATAAAGCACATATCCAACCATAAAATTTACTTAAGTAACTTAAACCAACTGGTATTATCGAGTAGACTAATATAATTGTACAGAAAGAATTGACAACAATTACGATTGCCCTTTCTCGACCGTTGTTGCTACCTTTACGTGGCGGTCGGGCTTGCCTATCGTGATGAAGCAACCGAGCTATACTGGCTGGAACAACCGTTCCTCAAGGTCCTACCATGTCAGACAGGTCGGTTGAAGAGCGGTAAGACTAAAAGCAACAAACCCAAGGTCCGAAGGCGAAGTCGTACTGCTGACTGTACAGAGGTGTGACAGCAGTAAGGTGTTTCCTTCAGACAACCAGCATGACAGCGATGCTGCCTTCCCACAAGAAGGGGTGGGGTTAGAAAAGGTCGGCCCTAAAAATACACACCTCGCCTTATCTCACGGATATCCGTCTCCGGCGGTAAGGTCCCTAAAAGTACGGAGCTAACACAAGAATTACTCATAAAAAGGTTGTGTGTGGCCGACTTCAAGCAGTTGTCCCTTGGGCACTGCGGTCACGCTCTCAGGTCACTAAGACCACCTTTAATCCAATTTCCTTTTCACGTACCTCCAGAAGAACCCTTCCACGGTGTGGGCAACCGGGGAGTGATAACCGCCCTCATACCTCTAACAGCACTCAAGACCACTGTATTCATAATCAACCTCCCTCTTCAATTCCTATTATTCCTCCTACATCGACTTTCACCTCTAAACTTATTTTTTCGGCTTCCTCCTCAAGTGTCACCATAGCCAACGATTCTAGTGCTCAGAACACTGTCCCAGGTCTACTGAAACCTCACTCCAAACTACACATTGGAGCCTTCAAGTCAGTCAACAGGCTTCCTTGGCTAGAACTTTAGAATCTCGTACCATTGATGTATGCTGTGTCTCTGAAACACACATACAGGATCCCAGTGTGATCATTCACTTGACCTCACCTCGGCAAAACGGAGAGCCAACGAGATACACCCTCCGTGTATCTGGTGTTTCGACGGCCAGCTCTCGTGAACTGGCAGGAGTAGGCATAGCACTAAGCATGAGGGCGGAACAAGCACTGTTAGAGTGGATCCCCGTTAACAGTCGTTTATGTGCTGTTCGGCTAAACGGCTCCGTAAGAACCCGGAAGGATAGGGACACACGTCGTTGCCTTTTTGTCGTTTCTGCCTACGCTCCCACCGACTGCAGCTCAGATGAAGTGAAAGATGAATTTTACAGAAAGCTATCTGAACTTCTTCAGAAAGCTAAACGTTCAAACATAGTACTCGTAGCAGGTGACTTTAATGCCCAGATAGATAGCTTAAACCAAACAGAAAGGCATTTAGGTGGGTATTTTAGTATTCCGACACAGCGAACAGATAATGGTGATCGTCTGCTGCAACTGTGCTCAGACAATCGTTTATTTTTAGCAAACACAAATTTTAAGCATAAGGAGAGACATCGTCTAACATGGCGACCCCCTACACCAAACCAACGATGGACTCAAATAGACCATATTGCCATCAGTCATCGTTGGAGAGGGTCGGTAGAAGATTGTCGCTCATTCTGGAGTACCTGCTTGGACTCCGACCACGCCCTAATACGGACACACATCTGCTTGCGCCTCACTGGACGCAAAAAAGCCACAGTAAAAAGACCCATTAGAACTGGATTGAGTAGCGAGAAAACCAAAAGCAGATTCCAGGAACAACTGAGGTCACAATTAGGTAGTTTTGAGAACGAGGTTGACCCAGATGTTGCTTGGAAAGCTATACAAACAGCTGTGGAAACAGCAGTGACATCCATCAGTGATTTAAACCACAGGGTTACAAAGAACCCTGGATTTCTTCTAGGTCTATTGCACTGATGGATTCTCGTAAACTCATCCCATCAGGCTCTGAACACGATGAAGAGCGACAACAAACCAGATCTAGGTTAACCTAAAGTCTGAGGAACGACCATGAGCAGTGGTGGGCAACGAAAGCAAAAGAGGTGGAAAAGGCGGCGGCTATAGGGAACACAAGACAGCTCTACAGACTAATAAAGGAAACTGGAATTAATAAGTCAGGTGTAAGTCAGACTATTTCGGAAAAAGACGACACTCTCATCTGCTCTCAGTCCAGACGTTTAGAACGATGGGCGGAACACTTTAGAGAACAGTTCAGCTGGCCTACAGCTACTCTACAACTACCCTCCATTCCCAGACAGTGTGAATGGAACATTGAAGTAGGTCCCCCAGCTCTTGCTGAAGTTCAAAAGGCTATAGTTAATCTGAAACGAGGAAGGGCAGCTGGTCCAGATGGATTGGCTCTAGAGGTCTTTAAGGATGGCTATCCAATTTTAGCGATTAGGTTGACTAATATTTTAGCTAAGATCTGGGAATTAGACGTTATTCCATCTGACTGGTCACAATCACTTATCGTCCCAATATATAAGAGAGGGTTAAAATCATCCTGTGACAACCACAGAGGGATTAGTTTAACTAATATAGTATCTAAAATACTAGCCTCGATAATTATTAGACGCTTGACTAAGACTCGTAAACTGCAAACACGAGAGAACCAAGCTGGCTTTAGACCTGGTCGTGGCTGCATCGACCACATATTCACCATTCATCAGGTTCTAGAACATAGGGATACTTATCGGCGTCCGACAATGGTGATCTTTCTTGACTTAAAAGCAGCGTTTGACTCGGTAGACCGCGAGATTCTGTGGCAGTGTCTGTCATTGAAAGGCGTACCTCAGAAGTACATAAACCTTGTGAAGGCTCTTTACTTGAACACTACTAGTCGAGTGAGAGCTTATGGCGAACTGTCATCTGCTTTTGCAACCTCAAGTGGTGTCCGTCAAGGCTGTCCACTTTCTCCATTTTTGTTTAACTTCTTCATAGACCTATTGATGGAAATAGCACTCTCGTCGACTGAATTTTCGGGCAATGATCTCCTTCCAGGAGGTCCACTTATCGACTTAGAATACGCAGATGATATAGTCCTGTTTGGTGAAAAATCTGATAAAATGCAGTCTTCTGGTAGCACTGAGCAACAATACCAGGATGTTTGGAATGCGCTTCTCTCCCTCTAAATGCAAGCTGTTGCTTCAGGACTGGTCTGCGTCAACACCTGAACTAAGGATAGGGAGTGAAGTAGTCGAACGCGTTGACAACTTCACTTATCTTGGAAGTCTGATCAGCCCTAATGGGTTGGTATCGGACGAAATCTCAGCACGGATTCGAAAAGCTCGATTGGCTTTTGCCAACTTGCGCCACCTATGGCGAAGGCGAGATATCCGTCTATCAATAAAAGGACGAGTATACTGCGCGGCAGTCCGTTCTGTTTTAATTTACGGCAGCGAAACATGGCCATTAAGAGTAGAAGACACTCGTAAGCTACTAGTATTTGACCACAGATGCCTTAGAAATATTGCTGGCGTCTGCTGGGATCACCGGGTAAGTAATAGTGAGGTTAGACGCAGGGTATTAGGGAATGATGGTAAATCAGTTGATGAGGTTATGAATCTTCATCGACTGAGATGGTTGGGCCACGTGTTACGTATGCCTGAACACCGATTACCACGACGTGCAATGCTATCCGGTATTGGAGATGGTTGGAAGAAAGTTAGGGGCGGCCAAACCAAAACGTGGCATCAGTGCTTGAAGACACTAACTTCTAGTCTGAGCCATGTTGGTAGATGCAGATTACTTGGTTGGGGTCCGCGTGACTATCGTAACCAATGGTTGGAGACTCTTGGTGAAGTGGCTCAGAATCGATCACAATGGTGTAGGTGTATACACTCTTTGTCTTCCCTTAAACTAAGAGATTAAAATCGCTTCATATCTTTCTTTCTATGAACTAATTCTTTCTTCCTGTACTATATCCTTATTGCAATCTTTCTTTTATATATTACCACCTCTGAATCAACTACTTTTATGAATCCGGTGTCCATCTTGTTGTGTTAATGAGGTATGGCAACTTGGACCGATGCATATATGTGCCTGGTCCTACGTTGTAGCTGACTGACTGACTGACATTATATGACAAGACTATAATTTATGGACGAACCAATCAGATATGAGATAACGAGTCACGAATACGGGCGCGGAATTCATCCATACATTTGGCTAGATAGAGTTTTGGCATTATAGCTGATGTCAGTTCGTGATGAAAGCCCTAAATCTAATTTTTAACCCTAACCATCAGCTGTAAATGGGAATTCTAACTGCTTTATAACCCTCATTTCGTTCTACTTAGTAGTTGTTCACTCACAAGGTCACTTCAGCGTCGCTCAAAGGTCGTCCATAAATTATAGTCTCACCCATTATATTTCTCTGAGTCACAGTAATTTCACAAGATGACATCTGATCTGTAAGTATTAAAAAACAATTACTGTTCGACAAAAATACAAATCTTCATAAACCTTTTTAATCAACTTAAAATGATAAAAATGGTTGAATGATTTAGGTTGGTCAGCTTAACAGTAAAATGTATTCTCCAATAAAATTATCCAAACCACGTGTCAATATGAATGAAAATCGGAAATAGCGGAAAATTTTCAACTCATCAACCAAAAGAACCATAAAACATTTATATCCAATTAGACCACTTCTTGTGGCTAATAATGGAAAACAGTTTTACATTTGTTAGTGTTTATTCTAAGTGAATTAAAGCTGAAATTGTTGGTTTACTTAAATCAACGGCTGTTGAATTTTAAATCATAACTAGTTGTTGTAGGCTAATAATCTTGAGATTATCGACGTTTTTTTTTCTTTCTTTCTTTTTAAACCTTTTCAGTTAAACTTATCGTAGCTAAAAACTATTATTGTTCACATGATTCATTTCATTTTCATTTGTGATGAAAAATTAATTTCAACGCTCAATTATCAGTTGTTTTGTTAGAGTTTTAGACTGTGACTCAAGCAGCATTTGAGCGTTTTGAGATGGTGGAGAAGATTTGTAGCTCATGTCGATGGTTTGGTCGTGGAGCTTTCATCGTTCTTCTGAACGACATCATCAGCACAAACTTCTACCTGGAGTTCGTGCTGATGATGTCGTTCAGAAGAACGATGAAAGCTCCACGACTAAACCATCCAGCTCAGAGAACAAAACCCCATCAAAAAGTATTTGAGCGTTTATGAAATAATAATTATTTTGGCATTTTGTTTATTTCTTCATTTGATTACTTCTTATTAATTGGCCTCTATCTAACTCAAAATTCTAGTGTGATATATATATTTTTTCTGATGAAATCGTTGGCTAACAGTTTTAATCAGTGGACTGATTTATTATTTTATTTTTGTATAATTTAAGCAAGTAGTCAACATTTAATTGTTCCTTTGTTTTCCATTGATATATTTTGTTTCTTTATTGTTCCTTTACAGATTCTATTTTGAATAATCATTTTCGGTCGAATTTTAACAATGGTACTCAAAAAACGCTACCTCATGAACTACGTGCAATATCATTTTTAATTAATGAATATTTTTTGGAACAAAATTTTCGTTTAACTGCAATACAATTTGCTGAAGAAGTAGAAGAACATGGTCTGCATAGTCTGGAATCATGGCATGAAGTAAATGTTGAAAATAATAACTTTTTTTAGAGATAGTTATCAGAATCATTCATATACATTATCGTATCGGCACAAAATGTAAACTCTGTTACACATTTCAGGCGTCTACCATGAAATATCTACATCTTTCATACACTTAATATAATTGTAACTGTCATTTTAAAATGTAGACATGTAATTTTTCACTATCACTTTTAGGTTTGAGGTTGTGCCCTATTTAGATTGATTTACGTGAACATGTAGTATCAATCTCTGTAATCTATAAACGTGATTAATAAATTAATTTTACTTTATAAGATGTATTCATCACAGATTGATATCAGTTGAAGTACCATTTAGAATCAATGGAGACTGGACAGCTCCTCAGTAGTGCAGGCTAACCATTGGATACTGGCCTAGTGGTTTTAATGATTAGGCGTTAATCGTGAAAACTGAAGGTTCTGGGATTGTTGGTATGCACTAATGAGAAGTCCCATACTAAAATGAAACAGCCGACCAATGCTATCTTCTTCTCAACGGTACATCAACTGAGATCAATTTGTGACTAATACAATCTAAAAATCAAACTAATCTCCACAAAATCTCTTCAAGTGAATTAATTTTATTTTGCTTTATTTATGTACGTGTGTGTAGATTTGTGGAAATCATTTACCTTTAAGTTATCATTATTATTCTGTTGTTCGCATTCATGAATTACATGAACTTGGTATAGGTTTCCCGTGCCACATTAAACGTTTAAAAAATAGATTGATTTTTATGAATATAGATCACCGTCATATATGATCTATTTGTTCATTTCTTTGTATAATCTTTAAAAACTTTTCAGTTATTTAACTTGACAGTGGCTTTCACCAGATCTTTTAAAGGGTTAGTACTTTTATTTTATAGCAATAGGTTTTATGCAGCAAAATGACAACTTAAATGAACTCATTCACTAGGTACTTGGATGTGGGCCATACTCTAAGTGTGAGGGCTAACGATACTACCCGGTCGTCCAAACTGAAATGGGTGGGACAGCAGGGTTCTAACCGGAGACTCAATTGCTGAACACCAAACGCTCTAACCACTAAGCTAGCGTTGTCTAACAGCTATAATTGTGACCTACACCTTAACACGCTAAGCTGTTATTGTCGATTATAGTCACATCTACTATCAATGTTGTCGATTATAATATTTTACTTTAGCTCTTTATTTGATGAGAACAAAAAGAGTGGTTCATAAATTCCTAAAATAGTTATTGGGACTTGGAAGGGGTAGGTAGCATGGATGTGGTAAATCCCATTTAGGCAACTACACCTTTACACATGGTTCAAAGCAAGTCAATAATTTTATGCTTTGAACTCATGTCTTATTGTAATTGTCCTTACATGTTTTTTTCCGACATACTGCTGACTAAACAAATCAAACAAATAAAGTGTTGAATTTTTATTTCGAAAGTTTTCATTTCAGTTTATCTTGTATTTGTATTCCAAACTGTGTCATTAACTATTTTACTGTCTATGTTTTCTTGATCTAAATTAAGGTTGCAATAAATTTACGGAAACCTCCAAGCTTATTATCTTTACTCAGGTTATATTGGAATCCTTCGTCTGTATCACAATCACAAATTTCATCAAATCGAGATGTACCAAATTGTAAATTTTGTGAAGTTGCTGTTCAGACTGAATCTGATCAAAATGTTTATACTGTTACAGCTGGTTTTAATGAATATTCCTCAATAGAAATTCAAGCAAAAGTATGATTAGCTTCTTGTAAAGATATTTCCATTTGGTTTATTCCATTTATTTATAATTACAAAGTTTTTAAAATTCATAGCATTTATTGTTACCTTATATTTTTCATGTTATTTAGACAAGCGCTGACCACAATAAAAAAAAGTAGATTAGTACAATTGCCGTTTAGTATTAACTTGATCATATGTCTAGAATATACGGCGAAAAAATCACATTAGTAGTTGGATTATCATTGTAAATCTTTGAATTAGATAGTGTCATTTTTAACTGCTTTCTTCTGAATCCTGTGAAGTATGTGCGCACTTGCGTTGTTTTAATTTTAAAATATACTAACACAGTTGTATAGAAACAGTTTATCACATTTGCGATACAATCAGTTTAATCCGAAATCTCGTAAGAGTACTCTAGGTTTGTTCTCATATGCTGGTATGAATTGTATGTGATGCCAATATCATAAACTGTTCTCTAACTATCCATAGTTTTGTATTTACGTAAATGGAAAAATTATAATATTAAATCATTCAGGTATAATTATAAAGCACTTTTTGGGTTTTGTGAAAGTATCCATACATTTTCTCATGTATGTCTCGTAACGTGTATCAACTTACTTGCTAGAAAAGCACTTGCTAAATACTTTGTAACTTAGTTCTCACTGTCGGTAGCAAATTAAAAAAAATAGAATTAAATCGATACCAAATTAATATTAGTTTTTTCTCTTATGTCTTACATTTTATTGACACGACCGTAGCTGGTATCTTAATATGGTGGTCGGACGTGCCTATCATAATAACCCAGTCGAGCTGTATTTGCAAGTACATTTGTCCTTTCAGATTCTACCATGCCAAATAAGTTGGTCGGAGAACTGTAATATTAAAGCAATAACTTTAGGTCCGAAGGCTAAGTTTGACTTCCGACTATACCGGCATTACCATCTATATAGCATCGCCGCATCTTCTGCGCTGATTATGTTGGGACAACTTAAACCGATGCTTATAACTACTTATGAATGGTCTTTTGGTAATGGTAACATTCATAGTCTGTAACTAAGTTTGCGATACTTCTTAATCTATCTATTTAGATGTTACCAAATAGTCCAAATTTTGTGTAACTTTATTCACTTTTATTGCTGAATTAACAAAAAGAGCGAGATAATATATATGGACAGGCTAAACAGTCTTAGCGTTACAACAGAAATATCGGTTTCAGGTAAATAATGATAAGAATCCTGAATGATGACATTCAATTCTATTTCTTCTTTAAATACTTGTAAATATTATTCAGTTATTTCAGCACTCATGAAATATTATCATTTAATCATTATTTATGATTATTTAAGCTAATATATCATTTAGTTGTAATTGATATCACATTGTTTTATGTAACTAGGCTCATTCCATTAATTTTGAACAACATCTATCTGTTCATGTATACAAGCCTATTGTAACGAACTTACAGGACAAGTTTTTACAAGCCTGTACACTTGTACAAACTAGTATAAGGCTAGACAATCATGTGAAAAGTAAATGCATCATTTCTATCCTATGAGTTATTTTGTTTTTATTCTTATGGTTAATTATGAAGCTCTATCCACGTTCATTTTCAAATATATACGAATGTTTATCTGACTATCTTATCACATTAAGTCTATAAATTATTTTTATTCACTACATATATTTTGTCTTCGTTCACTTCATTCAACATCATTCAAAACACACACACTTCCTTTGCTGTTTTGATCTTTGCACGTTTGATTTATCGTTAAAGCAGAGCATTTGTAATGCACTACCCTCTGACACCTCGTATTCCGATTTCTGTTTTCACACTGTTGATAATCGTAGTGGCAAAGTTGTTCTAGTTATCCAATGATACGATGTTATCAGGAATGATTATGTATTGCGAGTTAGATCTAGTTTCACTTTGATCATTAGATTAAGTGTTTTAACGTCAAGAGGCACTATATTTGGTATTTAGTAATTCGAGTTGTAAGGACCAATTCGAACCTAGATTTCACACAAGTTGGCACTTACCAGCAAAGTGTATTTGCAGTTTATTAGTGAGATTCGAACTCATTTTACTCAATTTCAGTCAGAGTTCGATCATTGTTAGAATTTAAACAATGTAATATCAGTTACTATTCAGTATTGATGAACTAGCGTGAATATGTACATTGAAAACATTAATAGTAAAATTATCACTGAATTATGTGGAAAGCACTTGTTACATATTGGTAATGTAGAAGGATTACTTTATGTTTAATATACTTCGCTTCCAACCACTGAGTCTCAGATTCAAATTCTATGTTTTCGTCTACATCGATTTAAGTAGACTGGTCGTATTACTTTCCCTCAATTGAAAATTGCTTCTTCGCTTTGCTCCAGAACTATGAAAATAATCAACTATATCCACTAATTTGGCTTTACACTAACTGTGATTGTCTAAATATACATAGGGAAAAGGGTAAATAATTGATTATAAGGTCAAACGTTCGTGTTATCTGTTCTTAATGATGAAGGCAAATATTTACCTCGCGCGCGAGCGCTTAACCATTAGACCACTGAGCCGGCCGACATCCAATGGTGTTAATGTTTAACTTCAACCAATCCACGAAATTGCGTCACCGTACACCATTTTCTTCAGTGAGCTGATATCTCACAACAAACCTGGTTGAACTCCACTGGTCACGGCTTCCAGGTTTTCCATGGTGGTCTAGCTTCAATTGGTTCATGATTTCAACTACTGGAATTATTAAAATCTCCTTAAAACCCCTTCTGATAATCATCTGCTCGCTAGTGACTGACTTCAAGAGGCATTTCCTGAAGTTCTAGTGAGAATCAATCTAAGGATAAAATTCCCCCTCTTCATAAGTTTATTTTGAATAGAATGGTTATTATCAAATCTTTAGTGTAAATTAATGATATGATATAATATAACCTGTTTTAAGAAAACAACAAAGTAGACTAACGTTCATCTTCCTTAACACTGAATAGTGTATATATATGCATAAGGTTCGGATTTATATGTAGTAAAACTATTTAACATTCTCATACGTCTCGTTTCTACAATTATTGACATTAATTATCAAGGGATTTGAACCTGTGTCAGTCAGAGACATTGTCATTGGAATATTTGGATCGTGGTTAACTTTTGAAACAGTGATATACATACATTCCATTACCATTAAGTGAGTAATGACTACTTTCTTATGTATTTAGTTCTTATTGCTGATCAGTCATTTTCCATCGATCAAGTTGGACTACCAATCAGTAAGTGCTTAACTGATAGTATATTTTAATTTCCAACAGAGATTTTTATCTAGACTCAACTTTAATAATTCATCGAGAATTCGTGGTCTTTTAATGTAGTATTGTTTAATTTTAGCCTTTTTTTTGTCTCACAGTTTTTCCGACTGTTCTTTGTTAACTGATTAAATTTCTACTTCAATTAAAGAATATATTTCTTTCAACTATGCAAAATTTTTAGAATGAGGAGATTTCATCGTTAAAATCGAAAATCAATCACTTAGAATTACAGTATTCAACTGCTTCACAAAACACCAGGGATTTACGTAATCAACTTATTTGTCTTAAACGGTAAGTGTATTACTTGCATCGTAAGTAATCTATTCTAATTATTTTTGTCTATTCTCACATGGATGATGTTACACCTTCATTGTTTGTATGCTAATAATTAACCAACTCACTTTATAGTCGATGTTAAGCCAATTTCAATATCCATTGTCCAATAGTTTCTGTATGATTTTCTTAGTGATTTGGGCTTACGTCATCTAGAAAATCTTTTCTACAAGTGTCAAGTTAATCGGTTCTAATTTCAAATTGACTGTCCTCAATATATATATATATTACTTTTATGGGCACTCATATTTTTATCGATTATCATTTTGGCATTGTTTCTGACGATGTAGTTGATGGACCTCTGTGTTATAGGCTGATAGATTGGATCTTTATCGCCATGTCTATTGACTGTAGATCAATATGAGTGTCAAAAGTTTTTAGATTGTCTTAGAATTTCCCTCACTTGGAATTCTAAAATTCAAATTATGAGGGAGTTTTATGAAGATTGGTTTGATTTTTAATTTCATTGAGCGTACCATTGAAAACCAGGGGTACTGGACAACTATTTCGTCCCCGTAAGGAACTTCCCAGAACTCTGAGCCATGTTGGTAGATACAGACTACTTGGTTGGGGTCCGCGTGACTATCGTAACCAATGGTTGGAGACTCTTGGTGACATGGCTCAGAATCGATCACAGTGGTGTAGATGTATACACTCTCTGTCTTCCCTTAAATTATGAAATGAAAATCACTTCACATCTTTCTTTCTATGAACTAATTCTTTCTTCTTGTATTATGTCCTTATGTGCAATCTTTCTTTTATATATTAACACCATTTAATTAACTACTTCTATGAATCCGGTGTTCATCTTGTTGTGCTAACGAGGTGTGGCAACTTGGACTGATGTATATATGTGCCTGGTCCTACGTTGTAGCTGACTGACTGATCCATTGGTTCTAGTGATTAAGCTTTCGCTGAGAGACCTGAAGGTCTTAGGTTCTCATTTCTGGTGCGGCCATAGATGTGCACTGCTAAGAATCCTCATACTAAGGGAAGAGAGATGTCCATTCCCTCTTGATTTCAAGGTTACTCTTAATGAGAATCAACCTGTGACGAATACTACTTACCAATTTCAGATTTAGTTGAATTTTCAAAATCAAATAGAGTATACTGTTTTACAGTTATTCACATCATTTATTAAAAATACATCTTATGTATTTTTCTAACTTATCAGTGAACACATTGAAATGATAGATAAAACATTATCAAATAAATACACTACTACGACAAATGCAAACACCACTGTGATAAAGGTGAGTGATTCAGATGACGAATGCAATAACCAATCAAGCCTAAGTGACAATGACAGTGTTTCATATTCATCTCCTGGAAAATTTGGTTTTACTGATCGAACTAATAAATCTTGTCGGTAAGTCGTTTATTTTTCTTAATAATTTAATCTTAATGCACTAATGTGGCATGAAAACTTCATACAACACACATATGTCAGGTTCTACGTTACTTATGGCTGACTGAGGCAGTTTAGTTGTTTAATTAATTAACTTTGTGTTTGCATGTGCATGGTAGACCATGTAAATTTCTTCCCATTCACATCTTAATAATTGGTTATATTTCTCGACTTTTTCGCATCATTCGACATTTAATTTAATCCATTTTGCCTAGCGAATCTTCATTGACTGCGGTGAAGTTGGGATACTTACTTACTTACGCCTGTTACTCCTCGTGAAGGAACATAGGCCGCTCACCAGCATTCTCCATCCAACACTGTCCTGGGCAATCCTTTCCAGCTCCTTCCAGTTCTTATTCATCTTTTTCATATCTGCTTCTATTTCCCGACGTAATGTGTTCTTTGGCCTTCCTCTTTTCCGCTTCCCTTCAGGATTCCAAGTTAGGGCTTGCCTCGTGATGCAGTTTGATGATTTGCGTAATTTATGTGTTGCTGGTTCTCGCTAATATCTTGTCTGCTATGAGGGCAACCTGATGGAGTGGTGCGTCCTCGAGCAGAGCTGTCACAGTTGGCTGGATGTGAACCGGTAGCGACTCGTGCCACAGTTCTTTAACTATTTCTGATTCAGCTGCTGTTGGTCCTGCAAGGGATTTCAGGCGTGTGAGGTGGTGACTAGGTTTAGCGTCACCCGGAGGGTGACGTGCTAAAAGTGTTCTCAAACGTTCCTCTCTAGATGGGAAGAAATGACGTAGAATCGCCTCTTTGAGACGATCGTAAACATTAGGGACGTTAGGATTGAGAACAACCTCGCGAACAGCAACTATGTGGTCCCCGGGTACCGATCCAAGAGCAAAAGCGTATTTCTACTTTTGACTCGTAATTCGTCGAGTCTCGAATTGAGACTCTAGTGCGGCGAACCATACCTCAGGGTCGTGGGGGATAAAAGCTACAGGTCTAAACTGGATGGCCTGTATATCAGAGTCTATGTTAGTAATGCCGCTCTTTTCGTTATCCATCATGCCGAGTATAGTATATATTAAGAATTAATATAAAAATACACAACAGACGTGGATAGAAAAACAATAGACTCGCCGAAATGACTTCCTGAGGCGAAAAGACCAGAATTTATGACGTGTTTCAGAAGTCTGCTCACCAGTTGTGGCGTGGTGTCGAGTCCCAGTTGACTATGAACACCACTACAGAGAAACACGTGCCAGAAAAATCAGAAGGCGAAGATTGAATGTAACCAGATTTATTCGTTGGCGATCTCGTGGTATCGAACGAATACCAAGATCGTGCCAAGAAAAGGTACAAGCGGAATCGGCAGGAGAAAGTACGTGCGAACGGGGTCACGAACCGCGAAACAATAATGGAGAGTAATGGTAGCACGAAATATCTGTCATTAGCACAGCTAAACAAAAGCACATTAAAAACAAGCACAGGTACAATTGGTTATAATAACAATAATAATAATTGTTTTCATTAAATCAATCGTGTTCTCGTGATAAAAGTAAGTCCCTACAGCTCCATTCGAGCAGTGGGGTTAGGCAAGATTGTCCAATTTATCCATTCCTCTTCAACTTTGCTATTGATGTCATTTAGGAAGCAGCTCTGATGGATGTAAGTAATGGCGGTGTGGATCTGTTGCCTGGAGAAAGACTTCTCGACCTTGAGTATGCGGATGATATTGTCTTACTTTGCGATAATGCCCAAGCCATGCAATCCGCACTTAGTCAGTTGGCAATCGAAGTGCGTAAGCATGGTATGTGCTTTGCACCTTCAAAGTGCAAAGTACTTCTACAAGACTGGTAGGATTATAATCCTATACTCACCGTGGATGGTGAGCAGATAGAAATAGTCGAGAAGTTCGTGTGTATAGGTAGCTGCTTAAGTGCTGGTGGTGGCGTGAGTGTTGAGATCAGTGCACGTATGATGAAAGTCAGAGCGGCTTATGCCAATCTAGGCCATCTTTGGCGCCTTCGTGATGTTAGTTTGGCTGTAAAAGGTCGGATCTACAACTCGTCAGTGAGAGCAGTTTTGCTCTATGCTTGTGAAACCTGGCCTCTTTGAGTGGAGGATGTTAGACAACTCTGTGTTCGATCATCGCTGTCTCCGAAGGATTGCTGACATTCAGTGGCAACACCATGTCAGTAATGCAGAGGTTCGGCGTCGTGTGTCCGGGCACAGTGATGATAATGCAATCGATGTCACCAACTTGAAACACCGACTTCGGTGGCTTGGACATGTTCTACGAATGTCGTCCCAGAGAATTCCACGTCGTGCATTATTTGCCGACTCTGGGACAGGTTGGAAGAAGCGGATAGGTGGCCAGTGTATGGCATGGTGTCGTGGCATGAAAGAAAGCTGCAAAGGACTGGCTTATGTTGGTCCTTCACGACTCCCTGGTTGGGGTCCGAGAGATGGTGCAACACAGTGGCTAGAGACGTTATCAGATATGGCTCAGAATAGAAGCCAGTGGCGATCCTGCTGTACCATTCTTTTACTTTCTTCATAAAAAGTGGTTGTGTCTCTCTTAACTGAAAGATTTCTTCTGATTGTACCTTTCCGTTTCCGCCATTATTATTATTATTACACTACCTTACACTAATCTGCTCGTTGTTGTTCCTTTTTTTACACTCCTTACCTCCTTTTTTTCTCTTCGAATTCTCATTGTTTTGTGTGGCGCATTTATATTTGGTGCCCTCTTGTACCAATATTTATGTGTTCAAATAAATAATAGTAAATAAATGTGGAGTTCTAAATAACGTCACTCAGCTTCACAGTCTGAGACGTGTTATTACTGACTTATTCTAGTCGTAACCAACCTGTAAGGCTGAAATAGTTACAGTTAATAGGCACTGAGTAATAAATAATGCCAAGTTTGTTCAGTCTTTTATTGTTGATCTATTTGTGTCGGCCGAATTTCAATGCTCCCACTAGTGTGTGATTCGATATCACGTTGTGGTGTGAGCTACTTATATTGATATAAGTAGTATATAACGTGCGTTAAAAGGATGTAATGTCCGGCAGCAGAAGATGGCGAAGATCAAGAAAGGAAGAGCAAGAGCACAATCGAATTGTAAGAAAACGCATGTACAATGGAATGGGAGACAATGGATTAGTGTTTGCAACGGGAACAGTACAGTTTGATATGATGGAATGATATTTTGCAAATTGACGATTGACTTTATGGTATTCACATTTTATTGAGATAGTCTGTAATTTTTGTGCTAAATACAATCGATTGTCCCCACCCGTATCCTTGTTCACTACAACGTGACCCATGTTGAGATGCTAGCTAGGTGGATGTGGTCAGTAAAATAACGGACTGGATTACTATGTTTGCATATTCCGTTTATCATAAGTTTTCATTTAAATAATTAATTATCATCGTTCTGCTTATTATTCCTATTTTATTTGCCAATCAAATACTCACAGCTCACCCTATTCACAGCCTTTCTCGGCTTCTATATGTGATTCCTGTGAATTTTCGTTTTATGGTGTGATGTGGTTCAGTATGTTTGTATGTAAACCCACGTATGTTTGAAATACGATAATGGTAGAAGGTGGTTTCTGATTTCTCGTTTCACTCGAAGCAGAAGATAAAGAAGGGTTTGAGTATAACGGACCAAATTCGAGCTTAGCTTGTGTTTGGCTCAAAGTTAACGGTGCAGGTCTAACGTGTATTTGGTCAAGTCTGAAATACTAGTTCGTAGAAGACACAGTAGACGCGTCATAGAAAAAATTATAATTAGAATTCTGATTGATGACGAACACGCAACATCGATCAGTGTCTCTTGTTATAACAACAGGTAATAAGTGACAGTCTATTGTAATTCTGTTTGATGATGATTTATGTATTATTGTTAAAAATAATATCTACCATAGTTGCACTAGTCCAACAGTTAAATCGTGTTATACTATTCATTTTGCTGTACGCTTAATGTTTCTCGTTTCATTTTTTATTTTTTTGTTTTTCAAAGTAAACTATCCAAAGAGTTTTCTAGATATATTGCTCATTTATTACCGGATGATGACCTAATGTTAAATGAAATTAACCATAATTTTCACTTAACCGATTCATTAGACGAATTTGTCACATTTTTAGCTCAATATGTTGAAAAGATTTTACCATACTTAGTTGATAAAGGCAAATTAGTAAGTACATTGTGTTCATAATAGATAAATAGTTATTTATGTTGCTCCATTTCATAGTAGTAATATTGTTTGTATTCCTTTTTTTGCCAATTGTTAACTGACTAGGCTAAATACGATATGAATTTCTAAGCAATATCATCCTTATTATAAAATTCTCAAGTTTTTAGTTTGACCATGTTTAGGATGGTTAGAGGCTGTGTGCAAATTGCCGTGAACTTACAAAACGTGTATGAAACAGTTATTCTATGTGCGCATTGATTTTCAAAGACCTATCAGTTGACATTATACCATAATGAGTTCAAATCTGGAGTAAAAGAATTCCTATCTGATTTGTTTATCTCGACTCTAACCTCTTCCCGTCATTTAAAATTTATTTAGTGGATAAAAAATGGTTAGTGTAACACTAGAGCTAATAAATAGGATTCAAGTTCACTTGGTTGAAAAGTAAAACGAAATAAATCCTAAGTTCCAACATTAACTTTGACTAAATATTCTTAATTGCTTCCTATCACTACACAATGATGAGTGTAATTGACATAAGCCACCTTTAACGCCATCACGATCTTGGTTTAGCCGTGAATGGATGCAAATATATTGATTTATTTATAGCAATCTACCCAATGCTCAATTTATTCGAAATTACCAAGTCAAACCTTGGTGAATGGTTACGTTTTCAACACATTGGTTCTGTTCTGTCTTTGAAAAACCTATCCTTTCTGATCTGAGAGTATCTGGCCACATTGTTCGATTATCGATATCTCTGAGAAACTTCACATTCATTTTTATTGTTATGCAGAATCGAAATAGTTAGTCCTTTAAAAAGTGTGTAAAAAATATGTATCATTGAATGCCAACTTATGGGTCTAACAATTAAACTCTCTTTGTGAGACCTATTGGTCATAGTTTTAGTCATCTGTAGGGCCATGGATGCTCACTGGTGAAGAGTCTCATACAAAACAAAGCAGTTGACCAACGCTTCCTGTTTTCTAATGATTGTCTAATCAGGGTCAGTTCGTAACATGCAAACTACACAATAAAACCTCAGTGACTTTATGGATACACTAATTACTTATTTTACTGTTCTCTTTTTAGTTTATGGTAACATGTGAAAGCATTAATTGTTACTATTTATTGTATGTGCTAGAAATACGCCACGAAATGTTTTCCACTAGGTTTCAAAACAGTGTAAAGAAGGTTTAGACTTCATTGTCAATTGTGATACTTTAAAAGTAACCTATTGAACTAGCTCTTCTATTCATTTAGTTCCAGAGTTAAGTGATAATTAAACTTTAACTATATTATTAAAATTGATAAACATCCCTTATCTGAATGCTACCTGATCAAGTCTGTCCGTATATACTGAAGGTGTTTTCATCAAACGACTAGTATGTGCAACGATGTTGTCTTTTCACAATTCAAGGAAAGGGTTGGACAAGGTTGGTCCTAAAAACAAAATACCTCAGCATATGCTACTTATTTTCTTCATCAAGGGTAACGTAACGAATATTAAGTTTTTCTACACTCCTGTCATTCTCTCTGGAAAAACGTAGATTAGAATTGAAAGACCTATACTGCGATTCACAATTCAGTTTACAGTAAATGCAATTGGTGACAAAGTGAGACTTATTGGAGTGCTACCATGCTCCGTAACACTCAAGGATCTGATTATATTTGGGATGTCACGTAATAAATGACAAGCTAAACTTATTGGACTTTCTAAATTCACAGGCTAACTGGATGCGCAGAAAATCTGTGTAACTAACGTCGGTAACATTTTGCATTCATTTCTCATTCAAGGACGCATCATCAACTTTATGTGAAGCAATTGACGGTTTCATTTGTCGGAGCATACAGGGGATGAAAATTGACCTCTAGAATTAATTTTACTACATTAATGGTACAATCCATTAATTTCACCAGAATCATTTAGCCAAATGATCTTAATGGATTGGTTAATGTACTCAGTTTTAACCATATTCATGGTCAAACAACAAATAAAAAATAGACAACCAGATAGAGAAACTTCGAGCTGTGAATAAGTGACCTCGAAAATGAGACTAGAAGAGAGCTCACCAATTTGTAGTGGCCCAAATCCTAGGACTAAATTCAGATGCACATAACTCCAAAGTAACAATTATAAAGGAGAATTGCACTTATAAAGTATACAATGTGAAATAACTGAAATAAAACTGAACATATACTCGTAAAACTTCTGGATCAGAAATCAACCACACAAAAGTTCACTCAATCGATTGCAGTAATTCAACCGAATTGGGGACTAATGAATTATCAGAAAATGTGTATATTTTACAGTGTTTTTAGTTCTAGACTATGTAGGAACCTTTCAAGGTGTAAATCAGCGTAATATCTATACAACTCCATAGACATGTACGTTTAGTGATGCAGATGGATACGATTCGGAAGCCCGATGTCTTTTTGCACGCCGCAGCGAATAACGGTACTTTGTAAGTAGTTCTTGCTATGTTAGCTTTGCACTTTAAAGGTCTAATCATTTGTGTGAAAATAATTTTTCTCTTCAAAATGTACGTGTTATGCTCACCACTTTTGTTATACAGGGAAAGCTAACACTTTTCATCCTGTCCTGTTATGCATACTGCTTATTGTATTTTTCAGATTTTTCTCCCCTTATTAGTTCAAATTATTTGTTTACATTCCAATCCATCGGTACGTGATCAATTTCTCTGCCTATTATTTGATTTCCTTTCAACTACTTCGTCCCCTACCTTATCACCTCAATCATCATTATTGTCAATTGAGCATAAAATGTATGTGGATCATATGAATCCATCTAGCCTAATTAAAATGAATACTGGTTGTGATTCAGTTGGTCGCATAAATCATGATGAATTCTCTAAGCATATATTAAATGCTTTACGATTATTAGCTTCATATTTAGGTAAGTGAAAAATTGTCTAATTATATTTTATGACAGCCTGTTATAAAAATAAATGTTTTGTTTTTGGATTTCTCACTGGATAAGGGAAATGTTAGATTAGATTAAAATAAAAACCGTTGAAATCACGAACCGATTAATGTAAGACCACCATCCAAAACCTGGAAGCACTAGACGGCCATTTCGCCTCAGTATGGGACTCCCTAGCAACGCGCATCCTCGACCCCTCAATCGGGAATTGAACCCAGCGCCTTCGATCTTGCTCTCGAACGCTTAGCCTATAGACCATCTAGCCGTCATCCAGCGGTATTGGTTTCTGACTTCAATTAATCCACGATATTGTGTAACCGTTTTCTATTGTCTTCGGTTAGTAATTGTCTCATACCTGACACGATTTCGCTCCATTGATCACGGTTTCTCACCAAGACTCTGGGAATTTCATCTCAAAGCTATTCATTAGTGAGCACATGATAATTGTCAGTAAGTTGTAGGGTTTATGGTTTTTCATTGAGATCATGAAATTAAAGTCACATGGATTTTTTTTATTCATTTATTTACAGTAATTATTACAATGTTTACATTAATTGATCATTGGTTAGTAACCAGTGTGATGTTTGTCTAATATTAAGTCCTGGTCGGATCCTGTCGATCAAGTTACAGCGTGATCAGTAGTCTAATTAATTCGTTTCCTATCGACTGCTTGGAAATGACCTAACATCAAAATATAGAGACTCAGTGTTAAATCACTTAAACTAATAGCCGCTTGCAACTTGACTGTTATGACTCGGTCATCTCTAATCACTATATGAACATGACACTAGATATAACCCAGTGATTGACCAGTGTAAATATTTCAGTCCTATAGGAGGTCAGTCTCTTTCCGGATCGGTCAGTGGTAACTTCTTAAATTTTAAAGCTGAGTGATCACCGGCGTTTATCACTTCCTTCAAGATTGCTGTTAAATGTTACTGACAAGTACCAGCTAGCACAAAACTTAGGTCCAGAGTTTTCTGTCGATTGCCTCCGTTCACCTAATATTGTTACAATATGTTTGAAACAGTGAGAAAATTTACAACTTTGTTTATTATTTAAGTTTGTCGCGTTCGGGTAATTACGGTGTAAATTAGGTACAAAGCAAGCAGTTGACCTCAAGAGTAGTTTATTTACACATACACAGCACATGATTGTAGACAAAACAGGACACTTTGATCCTTGATGACTTTCATCCACTTAGTAATTCCATCGGATTAGTTTGTGTGTTATGTGAATGGTGAAAGCATGTTAAATACCCTAAAAAAACATTTTTTAGCAAAAAATCAAATGCAACTATGTCTCAGTTAAATATAATTCTGACTTGTTTCAATGTAATTTTCTGTGCAAAAAGAAATGCTCCACACAAATTAAGTGATCACCTAGTGAAGAAAAAGATAAGAAATCCGTAAGGTCAATGAATGAATACAGAAGAATAGTATTTAATAAAAGATACCTCCTGATACCCATGTACGACTAAGAGTTTGAAGAGTCTCCTCTCTCACTTGAAACGCTGTCAAATGGCCACACGTCTTTTTACTGTTTGGTAGAAAAGTCGTCACACATTTCGCTTAACGTATGTGCTTTTATGAAAGGTTTATGGGCGGACATCCAACGCCTAAACCGGGTTTATAAATACCGAGTAGAATCCATTTGATTAGGTTAGAAAGTCCTTATGTCAAACCATTGGTATACATAACAGGCTCTAGGATTCTGGTATACAAATGGTGTGCGAACCTATTTCTCTCACTGGTTATTATTGGACTTCATTTCTCGACGTCAGTGGTTTCATAGCATTATGGATTAGATCTCTGGGTCAAAAGCTCAGAGTTCGGTCTCCCTAGGAAAACCATCTGATTCAGTTTAGATGTTCAGGCAGTAGTATCCCACCCCATACACATAAAATTTAATATTACTCAAAAAAATGAAAGTTGTAACAAAAACAACTTAGATAAACGTATCAGACTCTTAGCACTAGCTGAATTCTGTCCATCATTGATAGAGAAAACATTTCACCATCCACAAACGTTCTACATTTTAAGTTTGCTTTTTAGGTCGACTTGCATTTATCATAATTCATTTCTATTCATGAATTTCAATAAGCGGTAATCAAAATCTCTACCGATAGACACAAATCTAGAGTTATTATTGATGCATTAATAATTTCATTAATCAATGGTCTTTATCAGTATTGGAACTAAAAACATTTTTTGGTATCTAACATGTCATGTTGTCTACGTGTTCATACTGTCATTTTGATGACATCGTTTATTCACCTTTGATCTTGGATGACAAAGAAGTAATTACGACTCACAGCGTTAAGTCAGCATATTATTATAACTAATTCAAGCATATTATTTACTTGTCTGATATTAGATCTACATTTTAAACAAAAAGTTGGAAAGTTATTTTATACAAAGCGTTTCATATCGTACTTTTAACAAATCATTCTGTTACAATCTATCCTTATTGTATAGGTCCTGCTCGATTGGAAGGTGAACTGTTACCGGGATTATGGTTACAAATAAATAAATGTCCAATTTCTGATCTATCCAGAAGGCTTCTTTTAGTGTCGGCCTGCGGTGTAATCGCTCCTCACCTTCCGGTTAGTTAAAAATCATATTATTGTCTTATACTATGATTGCTGGCCTACGATTGGTGTGTATTTTCATATTCTATAGTGTATAACTTAATCTGGGATTACCCACGGGGTAAACCCTCCAAATAAACTGCAAATATATAGCTGTTCTCGTCTGGCCGTAAAGTAGATACGTTGTATCCCGTGGAGAGAGAGTATGAATAAATCTGAAAAAAAAGAACAAGAGACAAAGTAAACAGACTCATGAAACACACTGTTTGCAATTGCAATTAATAACGAAAACAATCAACAAAAATAAGCAGTAACACAAATGTGAGATTAAGATAATATGAAAATGGAAACTAGAATTTAATACAGTAAAATTTTAAATGTGCTACACAGTTTTCCCTGGTACGAAAGCATTGTCCCAGTACTTGTTTTACTTTAAATAAGAATAAGAACAGGTCTGCCTGACATTTCTTTTATGTTAGCATTCTTGAAAGTTCACCAAAATTATTGAATTAAGTGTTTGTATTAATAAGTAAAGTTGGACGATTGCAGCTAGTTGAATGTTCTTACTTACTTAAGCCTGTTACTCCCAATGGAGCATAGGCCGCCGAAGTTGAATGTTCACCAAGCTATAAATTTACTGGCATCTCATCGCGAGATTTATTTCAACGGCGATTCCAACTATCTGATCCAGTTGTACACTATTACTTAAACTACAAATGATGCGAAATTCCGTTTCGTTTAGACTGAATGACTTCAAAAATGGTTGGTTACTGATTGTATATAAAACATAATGAATTTATGTATTCACAAAAATATTACCGATAGGAATTTTATTTATTTAAACACATAAACATTGGTACAAGAAAGCGCCACACAAATCATTCGATTCATACGTCATTTGTTCCCTCAGGATCCTGGAGCCGATGTGCACCATTGGTAAGGAATCAGGGATTTTTAACCCCTTAGGTGGATCCTCCATATTCACCAATCCGGGTAAAGCGCTGGACATTCGTTTCCTAACAACTGCGTTACTTACTCGATGGTCCCAGGATATACGAGCAATGTTTCGAAGACACCTATGATCAAATACTAGTAACATACGAATATCCTCTACTCTTACCGGCCATGCTTCACTGCCATAAAGTAGGACGGGACGAACTGCTGCGCAGTAAACAAGTCCTTTGGTCGATAGACGGATATATGGCCTACGCCATAAATGACACAAGTTGACAAAAGCTAGTCGAGCCTTCTGTATCCGTGCTGAGATTTCGTCACACACCAGACCACAAGGGCTGATGCGACTCTCAAAATAAGTGAAACGGTCGACACACTCAACCGCTTCACTTCCTCTCATTAGTTCAGGTGTCGATGCAACCCAATCCTGAAGCAACATTTTGCATTTCGAGGGGGAGAACCGCATCCCGAACATGCTTGCATTGTTGCTTACAGTGGTCAGAAGACTCTGCATTTTGTCAGCGTCTTCACCAAATAGAACTATGTCATCAGCATATTCTAAGTCAACAAGTGAACCTCCCGGTACAAGTTCAACCCCTGGAAATCTAGACGAGGAAAGTGTCATCTCTAAAAGTACGTCAATGACAAAGTTAAACAAGAATGGAGAGAGTGGACAGCCCTGACGAACACCACTTGAGGTGATCAATTCTGATGACAGTTCGCCATAAGCTCTCACTCGACCAGTTGTGTTCGAGTAGAGAGCCTTTATAAGGTTAATGTACTTCTTTGGTACTCCTTTCAGTGACAAACACTGCCATAGAACCTTACGATCGAGAGTCGAATGCTGCTTTAAGGTCCAGAAATACTATGATTGTGGGGCGTCTGAATGTATGTCTGTGTTCTAGGACCTGATGTAGTGTGAATATGTGGTCTATACAACCACGTCCAGGTCGAAAGCCAGTCCGGTTTTCTCTAGTTTGCTCTTCACGAGCTTTAGTTAGGCGTCGAAATATTATTGAAGCTAATATTTTAGACACTATATTAGTCAAACTGATTCCTCTGTGATTGTCACAAGAGGACTTTTGTCCTTTCTTATAGACTGGCACAATCAGTGATTGAGACCAGTCAGATGGGGTTACGTCCAGTTCCCAAATTCTACCTAAGACCTCAGTTAATCTCACTGCTAATACTGAACCACCATCCTTAAAAATCTAAGGAATAAACCCGTCAGGGCCTGCTGCTGTTTACCATACTGGCAATATCACTGCTATTTCCACAGCTTTTCGGATATCACTTTATGCCGCCCCAGGGTGGGCATCACATACATGGCTGCCTAACTGTCTTCCGAGTTGTTCCTGAAATATACTCTTAGCTTGACTATCATTAAGTAGGGCCCCAAGAGGTTTACTTGCACCATCTTTCCTACATCCAGTAAGACGCAGGCAAATACGCGCTCCCACTAGAGCATGATCTGAATCTAAGCATGTGCTCCAGAATGAGCGACAGTCTTCTATCGAGCCCCTCCATCGGTGGCTGATAGCGATGTAATCTATTTGGGTCCAATGTTGGGACGAATTACGGGGTCGCCATGTTAAAAGATGTTTTTCCTCATGCTTACAGTTAGTATTTGCAAGAAAGAGGCGGTTATCTGAGCATAGCTGCAATAGACGGTCGCCATTATCTGTTCTTTGAGACACGACGCTATAAGATCCACCCAGGTGTCTTTCCCTTTCGCTTAGTTTACCTACTTGAGGATTAAAGTCACCAGGCACTAATACTACATCAGAGTGCCTAGCTTTTCGGAGGTCGGAAAGCTTTCTGTAAAACTCATCTTTTACATCATCTACGTTGCAGTCGGTGAGAGAATAGGCAGAGACGACGAAGAGGCAACGACGAGTGTCCCCATCTTTCCGAGTCCCTACTGTCCCGTTTTGTCGGACAGTTCACAAACGACTGTCTACTGAGATCCAGTCTAAGAGAGCTAGTTCCTCCCTCAGACTCAATGCTATACCTACGCCGGCGAGGCCACGAGAAGCAACATCATAGCTTCCAGATACACGAAGTGTGAGCCGTGTTGGTTCTTTATTTTCGCATGGTGATGTCAAATGAACGACGCTACTTGGATCCTGTATGCGCGTTTTGGAGACACAGCACACATCGATAGCGCGAGATTCTAAAGTCCTAGTTAAGGGAGCCTGTTGTCCTATTTGGCACAGTTTTCGTACGTTAAAAGCTCCTACATGTAGTTTAGAGCGTGGTTTCAGGAGACCAGGAATAGCGTTCCACGTACTCGAATCGTTTGCCCTAGCGGTGCGAGGTGATAAAGAGACGTGAGGAGGATTAGTCATGGAGATAAGAGAGGTATTAGGAAGTGTAGGAAGGATTTGACTGTGACCAACTTGGTCTCGTGTGCCGTTACGGGTATGAGGGCTGGTGTCACTTCCCGGCTGCCTACACCGTGGAAGGGTATTTCTTGAGGAACCTGAAAAGGAAGTTGAATCAATGTTGGCCTTAACGACCTGGGGGTGTGACCGCAGAGCCCAAGGAACAACTGTTTGCGGCCGGTCGCGCACAGCCTTTTCGTGGGAGGCTTTTAATATATTAGCTCTGTTGTTCAAAGGGCCTTACCACCGGAGACGGAAATCCGTGAGGTAAGATGACTTGTGATATTTTTAGGGTCAATCTTTTCTAACTCCTTCCTTTCTTATGAGAAGGCAGCATCGCTGCAGATGTTGGTTGTCTGAGGGAAACATCTTACTGCTGTCACACCCCTCTACTGTCAGAAATACGACTTCTCCCTCAGACCTTGAGATTCCATAGCAGTGTGCATTTATGACCGTACAGAAGATTTTACCTAGGACTTGCATGTCTTATGATAAGCTTTTCACCTTCAGATTACTGAGCACGTATCTAGTGGTTTACTTGTGTAAATTCCATGAATTCGCGTTACTACATAATCATTTTCGAACACAATCTAGCAATCACTTTGAAATATATGAATATTATACATTCACGATCAAATCAGTGATCTCCGCACCCCCACCTCCTACTTTAACGTTGATTTTACGCATGCTGGTTGTCCGAGGGAAACGCCTTACTGCTGGCACAACCCTCTACAGTCAGCAGTACAACTTCGCCCTCAGACCATGAGTTGCTGCTTTTAGTCTTACCGTTCTCCGATTGACCTGCCTGGCATGGTAGAACCTACAGGAACATATGTTTCAGCCAATATAGCTCGGTTGGGTCATCACGATAGGAAAGCCCGACCACCGCATCAAGGTAGCAGCTACGGTCGGGTGTAGTACATTCAGCAAAAATAGTACGCAAATTTATTATAATCGAGTCGAAATACTCTTAAAATGGTTGTTATGAAAGACTGATAGTTTGAGCTATTTATATACAAATCTGAATAAATTTCTATTAATGGGCTAGATGAAGTAGAGTACAGTTTACTGGATTTTACCAACCGATGGATATTAAATAATTCTTAACGATTTGTTTATTACTGAGATTTTAGGTGATTGGAGGTAGTTGACAAAAAACCCTATTTGATGTAAGTTCTTTATTATTTGATACTCGTTAACAAGGTGTTCAACCCGTTATGTCCTGTTATGACCTTGACGTCTGACTTTTCTATCATGCGACTTATCCACCAATCAGAATACGACTTATACAAATCTTCACACTACGCCAAACCAATGACGTTCAACCGGTATGAGCAGTCTAGCGTCCTTATTGGTCCTATGTCCTCCTAGCCCGTCCACTAGAGTCCACAACACAACACCAGTTTCTGCAATATGAATTAGATCGTTTATTTCAGACGTACTCGGTTTATATATCAACCAGACAGACCACAACGTACCATAAAATAGAAAACAACATGTGTACACAAATAAGCCGAAAAGTGGCTGTGGACGCGGGAGATAGTAATTAATAGACTGAACATAGATTAAGAACCGTAAATCGTTTAATAATAAATTATAGGTCAAAATGAAGCTTATAATAAGGGAAATATAAATATACATAATGTAATTATTGAATAGTTATACAATAAGAACATTTATAGAATATTAGTCCATTAATAGTCCTCAGAAGTTACCCGTAATTTAATCTTCACTCGGATATAACATGTCCTTTAGCCCTCAAACTATTACGTGACAAGATCGCCAATCAGAACACCAACCTATAACGACCTTGACCCTGTACCAAACCACTGACTTGTTAAACAGCTCGAGCAGCCTAGAATTAACTCTGAGTCCTTGCTGGTCCTTCTCGTATAGCCCTGCCCGTTTCAGTCCAGAACACAATCTCAGCTCCCTCTGTATGAACCGTATACTTCAGACATGCCTGGCTTATACATAGGCAGATCAGACCATATTACACCATAAAATGAAAACTAACAATTATACAAAATCAAGCCATATTGGCTATAAATATGGGAGACTGTAACTAGTAGATTATATATATATAGCTTACTGCCCTATAAGTCTTCCGATAATGGAGGATAACATAGAGGTTTTCAATTTCATTCTAGATATAGTTACTGGCTTCAGTGTAGCCATCTTGACCTTAGCTAATAAAAATGAGTAATATGTTTCGTTAGCAAACCTTCGTAGCGAAAATACGCTGCGATACTGTACACCAACTCAGAAGTGTCAGCAAAGTAATGCGTCTAAACAGATGATTATATAAACGATTCTGGCATAAGACATCATGATACTCGCAATAAGTTTAAACTTTATAATTTCATACTAACAATCACACCTCTTGAGGCACTCTATAGATAAGCACTTTGTAAGATCGCTCTAGCCAATGAGATCATTTCAGTTACAAACCCAACTGAGTTAAAGATGGAGATCATTCATGACAAAATAATCTTTCGAGTTGGGTGCATGTTAAACTCATGCAAGCTAAAGTATAAATTAATAGTTCAGGCATCCCACTGTATTTTTCAAGTTCTCGTCGCCTACGCAAAAATCTCTACCTAATCAGTCATTGAGTAACATTAACGTTTTCAGTTATCAATCCACTTCCCTTTATTTTCCTAATTCCCCATTTCACTTTTTTTCGATTATTATTATTATTATTATTATTGCAGTCGCATTTACAATCTTCCATAATGTTATGTATCATGGAATCCAGCCTGGATGAAGAACGTAATCCAACAGTACTGGCAGCTAGTATACGTTCTCTGTCATGTCTAATTAGTTCAATGTCGGATTCTTATAAATTGCCACAAATTATACGTCGACTTAATTCATTTCTTATACAAACTGCAAATATATTCAATGATCCGCAACAGTTGAAACTGTTTTATTTATCAAATAAGAATTCATCATCATCGGGAACAACAACGACAACGGTGCAATCATTATCTAATCTCATATATAATACTACTATGAATTATTTCTTATCATCTATAGCTCAATGGTGTTTAGAATTAGACTCGATTCAACAAGTTCTACTTGATCCATGGTTAATTCATTTCGATAATTATATTTTAGTAAGTCTATATTGTCTCTGCTTTTTGAAAAAAAAATCATAATAAATATTTAGATTATGGCTAGAGCAGTATTTTATCGACCACAACCAATTAGAATGTAATTATGGCACGAAAAGTTAATCCAACGTCAATCCTGAATACAAATGGGGCTTTTAAGAATCCTAATAAGTGTGTTTACTGTTTATTTTACAACAGCACCAGGGTCAAGTTTGTTTGACGTCCTGGTGATACGTACTATAGGACTGATCCCTAGAAGTACGATCTCGACTGTCACAACTGACTCTCAGTTACCTGGTCAATTAGTTAATCATTATTCTCAGTACACCATTTGCAAACCATTGACAGTCACACACAGGCCACTATCGCTCTCGATCATACTAATCATAATCAATTGTCCCCAACATGTTATTGAATCACATTGTCAACTAAACAACTAGCCAACTAACTCGTACATACTGATTATATAGTCTTTCAATATTGCCACTAGCATACACCTTATACTACTGATACGATGCAGAATTTCTACTACTACCTGACTGGTTCCATGCTCCTCTGCATCTAGTCCGGTTTAATTAATACTAGTTAGTACAATTAATTCTACCACACAATAATGTATATTATCACTCAGTTGTATCAAAGTCCTAAAATAAAACAACATCATGGTATTTCCAGATTCTTATTTTCTGTACCAACAGTAACACGAGTTGAGTGGTATTGTAATTAAATTACATAAAAATAGATCAACTAAACTCAACAGTGTACACGTTTTTAGCCAGATCAAAACGTCAGTTCGTAAAATTATGGACTATTGCTTTGAACCATGTGGATAAATGTAGACTACCTGGTTAGGGTCCGCGCAATAAACAGAATCAGTGATTAGTGATGTTAAATAATGTAGTTTAGAATCAGTCATAATGGCTACAGACATTTCAATTCTTTGTTTGACTCTAATCATTCAGTTTCAACATTTCTATAAATCTCTTTCCAAAAATGAAGAATATTCGAGCGAACAATTGTTTTCAATAACTTCATCATCAGGCTCTACAGTTCTAAGTCCATAATTATTGTGATATTTTACTAAGGCCAAATAAGGCATGTATTAAACAAATGGACAATGGTATATGTTAAAAATGACCAACATGAGCATTTGTTATGACATAAATACTTCGAAATATTGTTATTTGTAAATTAGAAAGGTCCGAATGATTTGGAGTAGTGTCAAGTCACAATCAGTATGATAGTAATATAACAAAATGAAAATGGAAAAAATCGTGTGCATAAAATGCGTAGTAGGAGAATTTCATCTTGTTAATCGAGGTAATAATAATATCGTTTTGTGAATATAATATGTAATAAGATGGGCGTGTTATCAAGACAATTACGATAGAAAGGATTCATGTGAATTTGGAAAGATGAATATGAAGATTCAGAAACATGTAACCAAAAAATGGGGAAGGGGGGTAAGAGGTTTTCAATATCCTATGCTCCGGTTGTAGGCCAAAGTAAATATAGAGGCTGGATATATCCATTCTGGATACACATGTTTGGTTTTCTGGAGTTGATCCAGATGACTTCGGCTATATAGAGTAACCGTAATCTAGCTTCTTGAGGTAAATTCTTTGGAACTTGATATAAAACAGAGAAAACTCCCTCTATTTGAATATGAGGTTAACTATCTACCAATTGAGAAAGAATGGTACCATAAATCGTTTTGGTAATTCCTTTTCCCAACCATGCTGGTACATGTTCACGAACACACAAGAATAAAGCCCTCTGAGTACGGCCTATGTAACTAGCTCCACATGAGCAGTTTAATCGGTATACACACATGGAGGAGCCCATCCTTGATTTGTTGTGTGAGTACTAGTTTAGTTGAGAAAATTGTGTGTAACTTTGCGGCATGAAAAATCCTTTCAACAGATTTTTTGAGTTGACGTGTTAAAATTCCACTCGCTGTCTCCTAAGTTCAGTTTCAGTTACAGAGTTGCTTTACTGACCGAGAGCCACAATTTCTTTTTTTTTAATACCTTCTAATAGAAATCTTCTGACGAAACTATCTGGATGGCTGTTATTTCGTCATGTCTTCTTTAGTGTATTTATTTCTCTATCTACACTATCTTCAGAACATAATAGTTTGGTCCTGTGACTGAGACGTTTTACCAAATTTATTTTGTATTGAAGAGGTGCAAAGCTATGGAAATGGGTATATTAACCCGTCCATGTATTCTTTCTAAATGTATTTCTTTTTATGACGCGTCTATCCTTCTAGAAAGTAGAACACCAAGGAATGCTATACTATTGTCTTTCAATAACTGGGTGGACGTTATTGAAATAGTTCAACAGCTCTTCTTTATCGATATTCTCGTCACATACGATTAGTTTGTCATCTATATATCAACAGTAATAATCTAGCTTATTTAGGATGTCTTTCAATAGTCCATTTTCTAGTTGGGCCAGAGAAATATTACCAAGGATCGGGCCTAGGGGTGATCCCACTGCTATTCCATCTATTTGACTGTAAAATTCATTGTTAAACATAAAGTAGATATTCATAGTACATTTCAACAGAAGCTCCTTCATTTTATTTATTGAGATCGGTATCTCTATTTTCTATTCTAGCAATTATTCACACATCTAATCGATATTTTCATTCAATGGGATGTTAGTGAACAAAGATTCTGTCTAGTGATAACATGGTTCCACTATTTATATTCATATTTTTTATTGTATCCACAAATTCAAATACGTCTTTGACTCTATGCTTAACCGATTCTCGGTGTAACAGTTCTAATAATTCCATCCAAATTTCTTGATTCATAATCCTATTCGTGAAATATTGACTCTACCGTGGATTGGAACTAAATAAATGTTAGTTTTTTTTTCTAACTTAAGTTTACTCTGTTTAGAGTGTGGTATGCCAAGTGAAACTAAGCTATGATCAGTTACCAAAGGCAGATGTAACCAGCTACACTAAATATAAGAGACTTTCGCATACGTAAAATTCATACCACTTTAATTCCATATGTTGACTATTCTATGTTATGTGTTTATAAGCATTCGTTTGTGCCTTTGTTTCTGCTTCTTGGTCATTGGGCAAATGATTAGTCGTATGTTTCACGTGACCAAATATCCTGATCCACGACTGCAATTTCTTATGTATCCTAGTGTTTCCGGCTCATCCAGTTACATGCTCGATCAGCACCATTGACATTGAGCCAACGAAGTTAAGTCTGTTATCCGTAAACTTCTCTCTATCCCTTACCTTAAGTCCTTAACTCGACAGCCAGCTCCTACCGTATTCATATTGTAAATAGACGTGGTTTGGATATAGACATCCCGAACAGCACTACACCATAAAGTGAAAAATAAAAATTGTACATAATTGAGAAATAAGTGACTGTGAATAGACCAAACTGTAATTAATAGACTGGAAATACATTAGGAATATTAAGTCGTATGACAGTATATATATACACACAGTAATCTAGCTACTCATTACAGCAAACTTTTAATTAGTAAGTTCTAAAAAACCCTTCTTAGTTCTTTCAACATTTGTCCCGTTAAGAACGATTTCCTCCCTCTCTTCTCTTGTTGTAGGCACGTCAAAATACTAAAGATGAGGTCGCACCTGATATGGTATTGCTTTATTTAAATACTCTATATTATTTAGCACCATTTCTTCATGCTTGGTTATTATTATCATTAATAAAAAAATCAAGTCCTGATGAAAGTTTATGGTTGTCTATGCGAAATCTACTTCATGCTTATCGTAATTCAACTTCAGAATTTGAACATCTTTTGAGAAAGAATTTCACATTTAAAGGTAAGAGTAATAAACTCATATATGTTAACTAATCATTTCAGTTAATTCTTTTTCCTTTGCTCATTAAGTAATTTATGATAGTCATAGATAACATGGAACCTGGCTTACTCGAACTCTCACCCTTCGGTTGTATCTTAGCAAAATACTAATTTTGGCGCTGAAAATTATATGCTCATCAATTTAGTGCCAGCTATTGACTGTATTTAGTATCACGGACGAATGATGAACTATAAGTCGTTGAATAATCTAGTATATTGTCATGGACTTAATCACGTTAGCGTATAACGGAATAAAACAAGTCGAATACAAGAGTGATTTTGGCCACATAGATTTCATACAGCCATTAATATTAACAAACAATTAAGGATGCAAAGTGGAACAGGCAAAACACTTCAAAATATTACTCATTATAAGCGCTAATGTCACTCAAAATAGACAGCGGACAGTGCGATCAAGGAAGCATGTATAAGATAATAAGTATACAGATACACACATAAGATGTATAAGTATAGAATGACAAGGAAACGAATATATCACAACCCTTTACTGATAGATTACTGTTGTTTACTGTTTGTTATTTACCTATTTGTTTTTTCGATCTACAAACGCTGTTGTTTTTTATTCTTCACATTATGGATCACACAGAGCCTGACCTAGTCAAATCTTCTCCCACTAATACTGCCACCACCATTACCAACATCAACACCACATTGGATTTCATTGATACTTCAATAATTCTTGGACAAGATAGCTTTGAAATATTATCAGAAATGATGAAATATATATGTAAGTCAGACTTGTCAATGTCAACCATACCATCAACATTATCATCAAATCAAACTGGTGATTTGGAACATTCATTTCACTCTAGTCATATATGTCAAATCGATAAATGGATAGCAAAACAATGGTTTGATAAACATTTAATCTGTAAATTAATTGACTTGCTGGAACAATTACCTTATTGTAATAATGGTGATGTTTGTTTAAAAATGAAATCATTTCTTGACTTGGATTATGCTAATGGTTGTTTTGATGATGTAATTAAAGTGAGTGTAATTAATCTACACCATGTATATTTTATCAATTTTGTGATGTGAAGAGATGAGTTTTGTGTATCCTCAATTAATCGAAACACGAATGACCTCTATTGAATTACGGGGGAGAGGGAACTATCTTACTCCATTGACACACTTTAAATGCCTATTTATCTTGAACGTTGACTTATCACTCTCGGTTTCCACCAATTAGTTTTCTATTCTATCTTTTAAAATCAGTTTCAGTTTGAAAAGGACAGGATGCTAGATGGCATGTGTTAGTCCTGGCAGTGATGGTCTCTCAGTTGATCCAACTTTCTTTTGAAAGCTTCGACAGATGGAGCTTTAATCACGTGTTGAGGTAATGAATTCCACTCGTTGATGACTCGATGGGAAAGTCGATAGTCAACTGACAAGTAATTTGTTCTGGGTTTGTGAACTATTTTGGAGTGTCCTCGTAAATTCTCTGTTTTGGAAGACAAGAAAAATGAGGACATATCAGGTGCAAATTTATCACTAAACCATTTTAAAACTGTAATAAAGTCGCCTCTAGTTCTTCGATATGACAAGGGGAATAGGTTTAGCTTGGCCAATCGAGCATCATACGGGAGCTTCGCTATTCCGGGAATCAGCTTAGCTGTTGTTCTCTGAACCTTTTCCAAGAATTCACTGTCTCTTTTTAAGCAGGGGCTAGCCGATTGTATGCAGTACACAAGTTTAAGACGTACGGACACTGTATATAAAGTCAAAAACGTTTTAGCATCGACATGACTAAAGGCCCTACATATTGATCATAAGGTTTTAAAACCTTTGGGAGCTATTGCACGGCAGTGTGCAGTAGTCTTTAGGTCCTGGCTAACGATAACTACTAAGTCATTATGTGTCGGGACGACAGGTAGGTTGTGAGGAACTTTTTCAAAAGCTTTGCTGAAGTCAATGTAGGCTTCGTCTATTGGTAACTTTTGGTCTTTAAGAGCGCACCAGCTTTCACGAGCCACTAATAAGTTAGTGAAACAGGACTAAGCTTTTCTAAAACCATGCTGCTTTTCCGAAAGGGTCCGGTTTTCATCGAGATACTTAAACAGCTTCTTCCGAATAATCTTTTCTAAAATTTTAACAACCACGCTAGTTAGGTTAACAGGTCGATAGTTCTCAGGTTTATGTTTAGTACCCGTTTTGAAGACAGGACTTACTGTGGCGTTCTTCTAGTCGTTTGGTAATCGATCCTGGGTTACGGATATATTAAAACATACGTAAGGGGTTCATAACGAAGTTAACTCGTTCCTTTAGTAACCTAGGACGCAGTTCATCGGGTCCTGTGGATTTGCCTATGTCAAGCTTATTTAGCAGACCAAAGACATCGAGTTTTTTAATGGACACATTGTCGTGTGTGGGGGGGGAGGATTTGTATGAACCGACGTGAAGGGTTTTTCTACGGTATATACATTGCTAAAGTAGTTTGAGATTACTTGAGCTTTACCAAAGTCGTCCTCCACTAATGAAGCAGCATTGTTTCCCCATAGTGTTGAAATATTTCCTCTACTTTTAGTCCTTTGGTTTATATACGAATACAAGCGTTTAGGGCATTCGATAGCTTCCTTAGCAAGTCTTTCCTCGTACAACTGTCTAAACTTTCTGAGGGTCGAGGCACGAATATTTCGAACTTCCTGATACTGAATTTTGTGTCATCAGTACCCAGTAACTTAAATCTCTCCCACGTTCATCTCTTACGGAGAAGGGTATGAACATTTTTACTGAGACACTGTGGGGATTTTCTCGACCCCCCTAGTGTAGTCCAAGGGATGTGGGTGCAGTAACTTTTATGTATAAATTTCAAAACGCCGCATCCCAAGCTTTTTCAATTGTGGTCTGGCACTATTGTCCAATCTACTGACAATGTTGAATGTATAATATCTTGCATATCGACGATTTGGGCAGCCAGGTTGTTTTTCCTGCTAGACAGAGGAAACTTCCTTTCCTGAATTTTCATTTAGGACAGACCTCTTTGAAGTTGGTCTTTCCTCCTTTGATCGATGCGAGTCAGCTGTTACCAAGCTTATTTGAGGTGGCTTCACGTCAATTTGTGTGTCGACAGAGCAAGTACTGTCCTATGTGTCAGAACGAGATGATTATCCAATACTCCTTGATTTCCAATGATTTTGCAGCTAATCTCAGTTTATGACATAATCCCCCTTTGAAAATATTTGTATAACGATTTACTGTGTTTATAAGAAAACACTTGCTGACAGTGGAAGTATGTCTCTCCTCCTGATTATTTCCAAGTGTATGCAACAATCCTTATTGAATTTCATTGTTTCATTGCTCTTATTATATTTTCTCATCATATAACTCATTTGATTGATTTATTCTTATCATTTTTCTTTAGCATCAATTTGATGAATATTTCGCTTATCCATGCACAGAAACATTACAATCGAATAATTTTAAAGTAGCTTTTTCAGTATGTCGATTTCTTGTTTCAATTGGTAATGCATTGAAATCAGATGGTGTGTCAAAACTAATTGCACCACATTTTAAAGTCAAACTAATGAAACAAACAGAACATGGAAGTAAGTTTAATGTTATGAAATTAGATTTTAGTTAATAGTTAGAATTTTAAACTCTACCGATAATTCCGTTTTATTTGTACTACACGAATCAATCTACTCATAAGTAGTGCATTTTTCACAATAAAAATAATTCAACGGGTGCGGAACTCATTTTTCTGAATGTACATCCTCAACTAACTTAAAATCAAACAGATATTGAACATATGATTCTAGATGGTGAGGGAAGTCGTGTTCATCATATCAAGTTTTAAGTTCTGTGCTCTAATCATGTTTGCTGTTTATGTAAAGTAACTCTGTTCATGTATTCATTATCGCCGAACTACATAGACAAAATAGGTGTCAAAAGTATGTAGTTCCAAGTTATTCGATGTTGTTCAGCCGGATTTCAGAAATCTGTTTAATGTTGAATAATTCTGCCACCATACTGAAGGTTTTTTAGCTTGCCTCTTATGGTCATCTGAAGACTTTGTTGGAGTTATCATCAAATTTACGATTGGGGGTGGTAATTAATTTCATGTGTCTCAGGTCCTTAGTAGTGCAGATATAATGTTATCAATCAAATTGCATTGTGGTCATTAGTCTAAATGCAAGGTTGAGGTGAAGGCAGTCGACTACCTGCTATCATAACGGATTATACATTGCTCTGATTAAGGATATTTACTACCAAATTTTATGTACAATTTCGCGATATTTTGATTTATCTATTTACTACAGTTTTCTTAATGATTCACTTGTCACTTTAAAAGCAATATCCACAAGTTTAAGGATACGTATACCATAGTTGTTTCAAATAAAATCGTATTTTTTATGCTATTGAGTAGTAAGCCAACCTGGATCGATACAGTTGTATAAGTTTCTATCTTGTTGATTCTAATAGTTTGGTTGATCGATCACTGAATTACATATTCATTAGTAAAGTCGCGAAACATCTTTTTCATAATAAGTAACTTTCGAAAAATTAATGGGTCGTATTTTTTTCATTTTTCGTGTTAAATATGAGTATTAGCATTTATATTTTTAAGTGAAACTCACTTAAAATAACCAGTTAGATTATTCTGTGTGTATATATATAGGCTATGGTTGGAGGACTCTAGATGGAACCAAACTTTCTAGTGTTCAATCAGTCGTTCATAGGCAAAGTAGAACCTTAATATGCATGTTAAGCGGTAAGTAATAGTGAGGTTAGACGCAGGGTATTAGGGAATGACAGTAAATCAGTTGATGAGGTTGTGAATCCTCATCGACTGAGGTAGTTGGGTCACTTGTTACGTATGCCTGAACACCGTTTACGACGACGCACAATGCTGACTAGTGCTGGAGACGGATGGAAGAAAGTTAGGGGCGGTCAAACCAAAACGTGGCATCAGTCCTTAAAGTCACTAACTTCTAGTCTGAGCCATGTTGGTAGATGCAGACTGCTTGGTTGGTGTCCGCATGACTATCGCAACCAATGGTTGGAGACTCTTGGTGACATGGCTCAGAATCGATCACAATGGTGTAGATGTATACACTCTCTGTCTTCCCTTAAATTATGAAATGAAAATCACTTCATATCTTTCTTTCTATGAACTAATTCTTTCTTCTTGTATTATGTCCTTATGTGCAATCTTTCTTTTATATATTAACACCATTTAATTAACTACTTCTATGAATCCGGTGTTCATCTTGTTGTGCTAACGAGGTGTGGCAACTTGGACTGAGGTATATATGTGCTTGGTTCTACGTTGTAGCTGACTGACTAACTGACTGTACTACAGAGTTGATGTTCACTCTAGGACTCGAACGAAGTACATTATCTCGTCAGCTGTTTGTTTGAGGTCAATTGAATGACCACACTAGGATCTTGTATGCGTGTTTTGGAGACACAGCATACATCAGTGGTACGAGATTCTAGGGTTTTATCCAACGAAGCCTGCTGACCGATTTGACATAGGGTGCGTACGTTGAAGGCTCCAACGTGTAGTTTCGAGCGAGGTTTCAATAGACCTGGGACAGTGTTTCGCACACTAGAATCGTCGGACATGGTGACACTTGAGGAGGGAGTCAAAAGAGGAAGTTTGAAGTTGATAGTCGAGTAATAAGGAATAATATGAATTGAAGAGAGAGATTGATTATGAATATAGTGATCTTTAGTGTTGTTATAGGTATGAGGGTGATTACCACTCCTCCGTAGCCCACACCGTGGAAGGGTTCTTCAAGGGGTACCTGAAAAGGGCATTTGACTAGAGGTGGTCTTAGTGACCTGAGAGCGTGATCGCAGTGCCCAAGGGGCAACTGCTTGAGGTCGGTCACACACGACCTTTTTGTGAGTAATTTTCGTGTTACCTCCGAACTTGTTGAGACCTTACTGTCGGAGACGAAAATCCGTGAGATAAGGCGAGGTATGTATTTTTGGGGGTGACAATTTCTAACCCCACCCTTTTTTGTGGGAAGGCAGCATCGCTGTCATGCTGGTTGTCTGAAGGAAACACCTTACTGCTGTCACACCTCTGTACAGTCAGCAGTACGACTTCGCCTTCGGACCTTGGGTTTGTTGCTTTTAGTCTTACCGCTCATCAACCGACCTGTCTGACATGGTAGGACCTTGAGGAACGGTTGTTCCAGCCAGTATAGCTCGGTTGCTTCATCACGATAGGCAAGCCCGACCACCACGTCAACGTAGCAACATCAAACTCTGTAATACAAGCACATTCAATTGACGAAATGCGCGATCTGGATTCAACTGCTAGCCTAACTCTATCTATTCTACATACACTTCATTTTCATGTGTTTTTATATCGATTATCATGTATTTGCAAAAATTTAACTAATGGCATTTTAAAACATTTCGACGTTCATCATTTAAAAGGACTTCATCATTAATCGAGCTAGCTAATGAAACTTCAATTTATTGTTAACATTGAGTCTGTTTGAATCAACTTTTCAAGGAGAGGAAATACTATGTCTAAATTTTTCTCCTTCATGATTATTTATTATTATTATATTCCAGATTATGAATATGATCACAGTTCTATGCAAACTGGACTTTTAGCTGGTTATTGCTGTTTGCTCTCTTCTACACAATCTGTACGTGAAGTGAAAACTTTAATATGAATAATTTTATTTTAATTTAATGCAGTGTTACTTACTTCCTTACTCCCGTTACCCCTCATGGAGTAGCATAGGCTGCCCACCATCATTCTCCATCGAACTCTGTCCTGAACAATCCTTTCCAGTCCCTATTCATCCTCCCATGTCTGCTTCCGATGCCCGACGAAATGTGTTCTTCGGCCTTCCTCTTTCCCGTTTCCCTTCACGATTCCAAGTTAGCGCTTGCCTCGTGATGCAGTTTGATTATTTCAGCAACCTATGTCCCATCCACTTCCAACATCCTTTCCTAACTTCCTCCTCAGCTAGAACCTAGTTTATTCTCTCCCATAGTAGGTTGTTGCTGATGATATCCGGTTAACAGATATTGAATATCGTATGTAGAAAACTGTTTATAAGAACTTGTACCAGATTGATGATGGTTGTGGTATTTTTCTAAGTTTCAGCCCCGTGCAGCAGAACTGCTTTGACGTTCATATTGAAGATTCTGACTTCGATATTGGTTGACAGTTGTTTTGAGTTCCATATGTTTTCTCAGGAGTTGTAAACAGTTAATACAATTTACACTAAAATAGTAGATTTGTAATCGTAACGAAATGAAGATCTAAATTGTTTACTGACCTCATAATATTGATTATATAAAATCATATCGTATTCATGTATTAATCCTTAAAATACCTTTATAGTATATAGAAAAATTAGAGGTAATGTCTTGTCACATGAAAATTGAAATCCTATTGTGATGTGTGCCACTCGTACGGACGTATATAAGTGGTATGTGTCAAGAATTAAAAGTAGAATTCTTATAGACAGAAAAGGAAAAATAAGAGAGAAAGTAAAATATAAAACAATCGAAATGATAACAGGAATTATTATTATTAATGGCTTTATAAAGTTGTCGGGGACAATTAAGGGAAGATGTGCAAATAACATATTATACAAATTCAGTTGTGTGATTTTGCATAATACAATAAATTGACTTGATATTGTTTGCTTCAATTTTCGGATTGATGTTAAGGTCTGCAATTGATCAGTCCCTTGTTTGCATATGTGCATCCTGTGCGGATTGCCTCAATATTGCCTTAAGTCATAAGCATTATAAGCATAGATGGATATTGGCTAGCAATGGAATCCAGGACGTACATTTCGTCCTATTTGGGATGCAGGTGCATCCAACTGACGAGTCTCAAATAGGACAAAACGCGCGTCTTGGATTCAACTGCTAGCCATTATCCATCTATGCTTATAATACAATAAATTAGTTTATCCTACCTTCATCTTCGTTCATTACAATGAGAAACTCGATTTGTCTGTTAACTTGAGATTTCAATAGTCCAAAGTTGTCGAATACGCTTACATCCCTGAATCAATAATTCACTAGTTTATCATATCAAAATTTTGGAAATTTTAATCATTTGATCAATTACTTGTGCAGTGGTGATCTAAAAACCATTAAGGTAATATTCAAGTCAAATAAATGGCGTTAAACAGTGTGTACACATTGATCTGTAAAATTAATTAATTGATCAGCGAATGGATGATACTTGTTTTGTGACCTGAATTTAATCTAATATCCAAACTGACCTATTTTTTCATATAAGATTGGTTTCATCATTTCAGTAGCCATTAAACAATATTTTAATTTGAAACTACTCAATCTGTTTGAATCACGTCACGGCTTTTTATACCTTTAATTATTGAAATTTTTTGGTTCATATTGATAGTGATATGTAATAAATTGACTTCTAGCTTTACATGTATCTTTGACTAACATCAATCAACAGTACACGCCAACAAGATAATCATATCGATATTTTTTTCCTTCGTTTACAATTAAAATCCATATTCGTTGCCCAAGCTAGTAATGGCTACCTGGATTCAGAAGCTTACTGTATAACCCACTGACGTTCGTAACGAAAAGTACTGGGTTCTATTGTTAATGCGAACGTCAACTCTACTAAACATCCGTTACTGGCTCCATAAACTGGTCGGACGAGAATAATGTGAATATGTCCTATTGGACTTTGTTTTCTTTCTGTTGACAAATCCCGTTAATAACAGCGTAGATATAAAAAAAGTCGAACATACAAAGTATTTGAAGAACGTATATAGTTTAGACATTCGGTAATACGGGAGAAAAACCAAAAATAAATCGAAATACATGTGAACTAGAGTGGTGGAAATAGCCAACTCAATTTTATTCAATATGATTCAACATTTGTGATCAGATAGAAAAAGCTAGCTAACGACAAGTTATCAATGGAATAAATAATAAACAAACATACTCTCATATGAAAACTTTGAAAAATTCCCATATTGTGATTTAGAACAACAACATATATAAACGAACAGTATTGTTTTCAATTAGATCCTCATCAGACTTTACTCTAATATACAGTAATATTTATATACACATATGAAATTATTGAACCAATCAAGGTAGTTTATGAGTCAATGATAACAATGGAATAGATTAAATAAATAAGCATAATTAGTGAAAAGTGTTATGTCCCGACAAGAATAATGAATGGTAACTTTTGGGATCTACTGATGGACAAATACTAAACGTATATTTCTATTGTGTAATTATTAAGTAACTAAACTATGCATATTCATATTCCTCTTATTATAAGCTTTATTTTTACCCATAAACTATTATTATACGTTTTGCCATTATTGAGTTATACCCAGTATATTAATTACTACCTCCTGCATTCACAGCCACATCTGGCTAATTCTTGTGCAAATGTTGTTTCATATTTTATTGGAACGTTGTGGTCTGTTTGATTGGTATATAAACTCAGTATGTTTGAAATATAATGATTCATATCTCAGGGGCTCGGATTGGCTTTCTGAACTTAACTGGCTGGGCTAGGCGGAAAGCAGGACCAATCAGGACTCTAGGCTGCTCGAACGTGCTTTACGCGTCCTTGGTCCGATCGATAAGTCACTGCCCTCTAATCGGCGGTCACAAATTATAACAAAAAGTATGTATAATTCGCCTTTCCATAAAACTGCAAAGTGGCTAGTTCGAATCCTAGCTCACTTACATAAACTAGTCAACAGAAGCGTGAAAGACGTTTTTGATTTTATTTCCAATGTTGAACATATGAACTTAAACGGAAAACGGATTATATCTCTAAATGTTACTTCCTTGTTCATATATGTATCATTAACCGAAACTATTGACTTTGTGTGCCAAGAACTACTTAAAAAACAGTTCAGCATTGGAATTCCCAAGGTTAGTCTCAAGGAACTACTTCTGAAATGTACAATTAATGTCCATGTCGTCTTTAATAACACATTATAGACACATTGATGGTATAGCGATGGGTTCACCTCTAGGTCCTATCCTTGATTTTTTTTCTTGCGAAACTAGAAAACGGACCTCTCAAAGAGGTTATCGACAAGCTTGACTTTTATTGTCGTTACGTTAATGATACTTTCATTATTGTCGATCAGAACATTGGAAAAGAAGAACTCTTAGAACTATTTAACAACAAACATCCAGCAATTAAATTTACGTGTGAAGAGGAACTAGATAATTAACTACGTCTCCTTGACGTTTTGTTAACCAGAAAAGAAAACGGTTCTATCAGTAGAAGTGTGTAGGTGGAAAGTTCTTCATCAAGTCAGTACACACATTTAAGCTTTATACCCCTTCATTATAAGAGAAACCTAGTGAAATATCTTGCAAATAGAGCTAAAAAAAAATATGCTATGCCGACACAATTGACAACGAATTAGAGCTCAATCATAATATGTTGATTGAAATGGGATATTCACAAGGTTTCCTAAAGAAACACTTGTGTGTAACAAACAAGAAAATAGAGACATCAACGGCTAGTAAGAAACTTCTCTCCCTGAAGCTGCAATTCAATGAAGATGCAGCTGGTGATGTACTACGTGATAGACTGACTAGAGCGTTGAAGAGAATGTTTAATGCAGCCAACCTCTATCTACCTTACTCGACCCGATCTATGGTGATTCCTCAACTAAAGGATAAGTTGCCTCATTCTGTCACATTTATGTGTGTCTACGAATTCAGCTGCTCCTGTGGACAAAGCTGCATTGAGTGCACAAACAGACAACTAAGTCAACGAGTTAGTGAACACTTCACATAGTGGTTACGAAAGGGTATCGTTAAAACAATACGCAGCTCTGTGCCATCACACTTGGCCGATAGTGATCATGTAGTAGATAGAAATAGGTCATTGAAAGTGACTTGTCGTACTCTCGTCTCTTACACATAGCGGAAGCTATATAAATTAGAGCCAACAATCCAAATCTTTGTGATCATAAGAATTTTGTAACACCCTTATCCATCCCTTGGCCTTTATAAATGATTCTATTTATTATTATTTTCCATACTCTTCGTTTCTTTTTCTTCACCCCCTCCTACCATTTTTTCCTCAAATATACGTTTCACGATTCAATTATCTGGACACTTCTAATTATATAATCTTATACTTTTTATGAATGTTATTTCAATGTCTATATTTTTCTAATCATTGACCTATTTCCCATTATGTAACAGATTCAAACCTTTGTTATTCTTATCACAACTAGTACATCTATCATCACACTATCAATCTATGCTTTTCACTTATTATGTTTATTTATTTAATTTATTCCATTGTTATCATTGACTCATAAACTACCTTGATTGGTTTAATAATTTCATATGTGCATATAAATATTACTGTATATTAGAGTAAAGTCTGATGAGGATCTAATTGAAAACAATACTGTTCGTTTATATATGTTGTTGTTCTAAATAATATAAAAACAGTTAACAAGTAAACCAATTAACAATGTCAAATACATATTTTTAATTGAGATCATGGACCGATTGGTGTCAGACCACCATTGAAAACCTGGAAGCACTGGCAAGCCATTTCGTCCTATTGTGGGACTCCTCAGCAGTGCGCATCCACAATCCCTCTCGCAGGATTCAAACCCAGGGCCTTCAGTCTCGCGCGCAAACGCTTAACCTACTGGACCACTGAGCCGACATCAGGTGGTGTTATTGTCTGACCTCAACCAATCCACGAAATTGCGCGACCACCTTCCATTGTACTGAGGTAGATACCTGTCTCTACTCGACACGGTTTAGTTCCACTGGTCACGGCTTTTCACTAGAACTACGAGAATTTCCTCACGAAGCTAGTCACTATTGTGTGTTCACAATAACTCAATAAGAGATTAGATTATTTTGTTTATTAAAAATGTTAGGATAAATCACGTAGGCACCTAATAACAGAAAATCTGCTATAACTAAGATACAACTACCTCCGACTGATGAGTTTCGAATAAGATGAAATGTGCGTCTATTTTTTAGCTTCTAGCTATTATTGAACTTTGATACAGTCATATCGTTCAGTTTATAAACAGCTTTTAATAAATAAGAGTAAATTTTCTTATTACATTTTAGAAATCAGAAATAGGTCAAGTAAGAATGCTGTTGACAAGTGCTATATTTTTACATGCACGTGAGGGTTTCCCACTTCATTGTATTAATTTAACGGCTTGGTGTCTTTGGTAAGTTTTCTTATTCCGTGTCAATAGTGCTTTATTTTTTCCTCAAAATTATCAGTTACATCTTAGATTCCATGGTAGTGTTCTGATTGTATGTGTTTATGTATGCCCTAACTATCGCCTACTTTGACAGGCAATGTTAATTAGTGTACAAGAGTAAGTCGAAAAAAAGTCGTCCAAACTAAAATATAGCGTCAGTTAATCAAGTTATTGATTATTAGTCTGAGCTTTGTTGGTGCATGCCGACTACTTAGCTAAGATTGAGCGTTTGCTGAATAGCCCCGATCACTTGTTGGAGGTATCGCGTGACGTTACTCAGAAGTGGTCACAGTGAACCAGATGCACTAACTCTTTCTAATCCTAGATCTTGACTTTTACCTTTCAATTCTGTCTCTTTAAAATACTTTTTCAGTGATTAGTCTTCTTCATTATCATGGATACCACAGTAAATTTAAATCCGTTACCGTTTATCTTGTTAATTTCCTCTCATCATGCCACAATATCATAAAAACTCAGGCTACCGCATATTTTTACCGGTTTGTACGTTGATTACAACTAAGTCACTGACTGTTGCTAAGACAATATACTGATTGTTGTCTGATCGTTAGAAAGTAATGAGTTTCCCAACAGCTAACTTAAATCTCATTCCACTCTCCTCAGTTTAAGCGACGACACTAGCCCATATATACACACATAGCGGTCCAAATCTACACTGAATACCATTATTAATAATAATGATAATGTTACTACTTTTTATTTTCTTTCTACTAACACTGGACTGTATGTATCGAACAATTTATAGCCTATACATAATTCTCATCTATTCTAAATGTACCAACAGGACGCTAGAAAGATTAGCGAATCTCCTTGTGTTGTTGTCCATAATTCAAACTTGAAAACAAATCAATATGCTTATATAAAGCACTGTAAATACTAAGTCTATATATACATTTAGAGCACAAAACTTATTCATAAGTTAGTGATTAATTTAATGAAATTGATAAATGGTGAGATACGGGGACAGTTAGTGAGTTGAAAACTGACAATTAGGACAGTATGAAAAATACCATAAATCAGTTGTTAAAAATATGTAAACTGAAACTGAAAATGGCTTTCAAAATTCCTCATTTTTAATTATTCGCCCAATCTTAACAGGTGATATGTTTATAGGTTGTATTCGTCATAAATTGATTTCAGTTAGGTTACCATTGAAAACCAGTGATGACTGGATAGCTGTTTCACTTTAGTATTGGACCTAACAATGATTATTCATAATCTTTCCGGGAATCGAATATCAGAGCATTCAGGTCTTGCAACAAATGTTTATTCATTAAAACCACACTGGATCAGTCAGCGTTCAATGGTTTACATTTCTGATTTCAACCAGTTCACAATATAACTTAATGATAACACATTTGATTAATAAAAATTTTTTCTGTTCTCATTTTCACTTTTTACTCAATTTGTAGTTTAACTACGAATTTAGATATTGCTGTACAAGAAATTTTACTTCCAGCAATACGGCCATGTTTAAGTTGCGCTGATAGTTCAGTTCGTCGAGCAGTAGCTAATCTACTTCATGGATTAATTGAAATTCTACGATTTATCAGTGGATCGTATAGTAATAATGATATCTCACATACGAGTACAACAACGTCAACATTCACAACACATAATGACATTTGCAAATCAAATTTATTAGGATTAATATGGCCATTTATTAGTCAAGTGACTAGAGATGATTTAACTGGTCAACGTAAACGTATTACACCGGATCAAGCTGATTGGAGTGTGTTATGTTGTTCACTTGGTCCATTGTACAGTTTCATCATGTTAATATGTGTACCATTTCTAAATTCGACTTTGTCTTCTTCCTCTGCTACTATTGTTGCTGGTGGTGGTGATCCTTCTGGAGGCTCTAAAATAGAAAATATTCCTTCTTCTTCTACAACAACAATGGATACAACTTCAGCTTCAACAACAGATACATTAACAAACAACACATTTAATGAATATGCTAATTATCGTATTATGGTAAGGAGTTTACATGTAATTTGTTATTTGTATGTATTACATAACTAATAACGTTGAGCATCTCTTTTTCCACAATACTGAATAGAAACTATATTGATTATGTACAACTGATTCATTTACTTCGGTTTTTTCAAACAACTCTGAAAAAACGATAATTAGAGTCGGTTACATCGAACATTTCATTTAGGCATGTTTAACAATCCAACACCCGGAATCATTAATATACTGTAACATACTGAATAACAGTTGACTATCGCTACTAATACAAATTATACTTTTTTAAAACGTAAATCAGCAATCTTTTTAAAGTTCTTGTTTTGATATGAGAAGAATAAAGTATAATTTTCTAAGGATACAAGACAGCTCGGAGAACATAACAATAGCGACGGATACAAAAAACAAACTCACCATGCCGATATCAGATGATCAGTTTAATCGAATTCTGTAACCTATGCAGGCTCACAGCTAGGCACTCAAATTCGATTGATTAAAGCCTTGACTCAACATCTCACTACCCAGTATTCTAATTCACATTCAATGTCATATACTCTTATTGATTCAGTTGCCAACAATATCCCAAATCACTCACTACTATCAAGTAAGTATTCCCTAGACATTAAACTTTGCTCTTTCAAAATAAGAATAAGAATTAAGAGCGAACAATATATATTTCAACATTTATCTTTATCTTTTCAAAAGGCATTTGATTTACTTAGTTTACAATATGATTTGGTTGTTGGTCGAACGAATTCCAATGAGCAACTTAATTCTAATGTACAAAATACAGGCATAGATTATACAATGGATCGATTGATAATTTCACAACGTCGATTTTGGAATACATTAGTTAATAATCTTCTAGATTTAACTAATCGTCTTCTTCCGATATGTGGTGAGAATTTTCAACAAAATAGTAAGTTACATAATGATAACAATACTCGCTTTGGTCAATACCATATGTGATTTGATTACAATAATGTTCTCAGAAAAAAAAATATATACAGCAATCTTATAAAATCCCCATCTTTTAAGAATTCAACTTGTGAAATTCAGAAAATAATGTAGAGAAAGTTTTTAAACAGTGACTAGCTAACACTCATATAGATCCGTAAATCTTTTCGGCAAGTCTTGCTCTGATATCTCTTTTCATCTCCGAATTTGTTTGATGTATGAATGCTATGTTAATCGGCCCTGATTTTTTAAAGAGATAAAAGCAAAGAGAAAAATGTACCAGCCATTTTGACGGTTCTTCTTGAATTTCTCTGTAGTTAAATTCACAATAGCGTTTGTAATCACTTTTTTTTAAGGCGCGTGGTTATATATGGTTATCATACTTATTGAGTCAATTAAAACAAACAATGAATGTTTGTTTGAAAAAATGATCCCCCAAAAGTGTGAGCAAGCCATCGATATACGTTAGAATGAAAAATATAAAAACAGTTCATAAATATTGTTAAATTGGAAGTTACTCTTATGTCATATGTTGCCATCATCATATCGGGAACTGAGTGAAAAAAAGAAGTGACAGGCACCTGTTTTGTTTCTATTTCGAGCCAAAGTTCATGTGCAATAAAAACTTTAAAAAGTTGTACTCTTGGTTATCGTTACAAGAAAGAACTAACACTTATTCATAAAACTATATAATCTGAGGTCTTCTTAGAGATTATAACTTTTAAAAATTCCTTTTTTAGTAAATAGGTCAGTGTTTAATCACCGATTTGTGATACATTAGATCATTATTTTTAACTCCAAACGACTCGTGATAGTATTTCCCAATCATCTAATGCCATCTGTAATATATTATTTACTCGCAATATGGATCGCAGCTTCTCATGTTTGTTAAGCAAATTACTTGAAGTAAAATTAGGGGACTTATCTCGTGTTTTGCATAACTAATATTAAGTTGTTCGGTGATCAGAGGTAGTTTGCAGGAAAACCTAGATCAGCAAACTATACCTGAAATCCCGATGAAACTTTGTCTCCCCACAGGATTTAGACACATACCATCCAACTTCAGTGCCTTAGACATTACCACTGAACTATTTGGGTCGCAAATGACCATAGTCATATTTAAACTGGGTTTTTTTTAATGTGTAATATGCATGCTGTTATTTTTATTATATCTGTTTTTAGATATATTACCATGGCTTTTTAATTTAGCTGAAATGAATAATTCTTTGCCAAGTTTAGAAATACGTGTTGAATTAGCTAATCATTTGTTCACAGTTCTTTCGACAGCTGCATATTGTATCCTTTTTGTATTGTTATCAATTAGACAATTATTAACAATATATTAATCTGATTAATTTTCTTTCGTTGAATATGAGAATTTTCTCTAGTAGCTGTTTCCTCATCTTATTTAAATAAGGTATACATTTATTTTAAATATTTCATAGTAGTGAATAGGCCAAACCAAAACATGGCACAAGTCCATGAAGTCACTGACAAGTGGACTGAGCCATGTTGGTAGGTGTCGACTACCTGTTTGGGATCCGCGAGATGATAGCAAACGATGGTTAGAGACCTCGAATGGCATGGCTCAAAATGGTTTGCAATGGCACAGGTACATCCACTCTTTGTGCTCTCCCAAATTCTAATCTTCTGAATTCTTCATGTCCCTTTACTTGCTCTTTTTCCAAATTTATTTCACTGGATTATACTCCTTGAATAACATCTTCAAACCCTAATTTTTCTGATTACAGCTTATATTTTTACTACATATAGCACTACGGGATTTGAATCGACCACTGCATCTCTGTGCTAATGTGGTGTGGCAACTCGAACTGATGTACGTACGTACAAAGTTCTACGTTGTTACTGACTGACTGATAGTAGTGAATAAGTTTCATCATGTACTATTTTCCATGTATTTTTAAAAAAATATCGCAAGATTGAACATTTGAAACATGGCAATTTCAAACCCTTTTCGTCAGTGAATGTGAAAAACTGTACAAGAACACACTATACATCACTAAATTGAATGTCAACTATTTGAAAACAAATAAATATCCAGTAAGCATCAAATATCATGCTTCTCATCTTAGAACCTCGTCTATATATCACCATATTTAAGTTAATAAATAGTTAACTCTGTCATTAAAGTAAATTTATAATCTGTCATAATATTTGTTGAAGATTAAAAACTATCTATCTTGGATCGTGGATGCGCACTGCTGAGGAGTTCCACAATAGGACGAAATGACTGTCCAATGCTTTCAGGTTTTCCATGGTGGTCTAGCTTCAATTGACTCATGATCTCAACTATTTAAATGTACAATTCTTTGAAAACAGAATCATCATCTTAAAAATCTGCACTAGAATATTAAAACATCATGTAATTAATATTGTTCACAGAAAGAACTGAAAAACTCAACAGATAAAAGACAATCCTACTTACATCATTTAAAATATAAATTGCATCAGGTTAAGGAAATGTCTACATATTCACCTCTACTTCCCTAAATTAACAGTTTTACAACAATATTTATGTCATACTAATGCTTATGTAGACAACTGTAAATGTAAATTTTGCTGACAAGTTATATTAAGTCGAGATATATTAGTATTGCCTAATAGCCTAATATTCAGATGTAGTTTATCACTTAATATAAAGAGTTAAATGCAATGAAATGGTCAGAAAGATTACTGTAGTAAAACTTGAACCTATGCATATATTTGCCTTGTCCTACGTTGTAGCTGACTGACTAAGTCAGTGGAAATATATAATGACTCATATGAGTAGTAAATACTCTCGAATGAATCAATGACAATCATTTTTACTACTATTAGATTAGATCACTCTACCGATACCCTATATATATATCAGATATCCAATTCATGACCAATAATAGAGAACCAGAGTATATAGTCTAGATAATACTCTATTCAACACAATTACAAAGTAGTCTACACTCAATGAGTTCATGAAAGAAAATCACAAATTAAATGGCCAATAATCTATATCTGTCAGTTCACGTTCAATAGTAGCTGACCACAACTTACGTTCATTAGCCATACATGAAATATGATCACAGTTCATTTCGTATTTTTAATAATTTGTTTAATCTTTTTTTGAGTTATAACCTTAATCCAATTAAATTATCTTGCAACATTATAAACACAATTGATTAACTTGAATTAAGCTGTACAAAATGAAAAAAGTTTACTTCAGTGGTTAGTTCCAGGTTTAGATCGTGTACGTTTAGATTTAATTGAAAGTGGAGATAATCGTCGTGTTCGTGAAGTAGAACAATTCTTATCTGATTTATACTCGAATCTTCGATTAAATGATCAAGGACGTTCTTCGTAAGTTATTCCTACCAAATATTATTTATCTGCCTTCAATCAATTGTAGATGACCTCCTCCTAGCAAGTATTAATTGAATGGTTAAGACATGGATTACCCATGATCAACCACCACCTACTTTGATGCGTGATACTTGCTGATGCAGAAATTAGTTGGAAGCTAGAGATAGGCAAACTAATACATGTCATCAATCTATGACAGTTATTGACTGTTAGATTGAGGCGTCCAGTTGAGTTTAGACCACCTAGTTGGAGTATGCGATATTATTTTAGCCAATGATTGGAGACGTTGGATGAAATTGCTTAAAATCGGTCACATTGTTTTAGATACATTCACTCTTTTTTACCTTCTAAGTGCTTGGAGCCCTTATAGAGTTACTGCCAGTCTCAGGTATGTATAAAAGAAGAGAGTTAGGCATCCCATAGAAAGGAATCTTGCTAAAAAAAAACTCTAACCAGGAAATTGCCGAGTTTCGAAATTATCTTCTATTTTCTTATTCCACGAAATTATCCTTTCCAAATAATATTGTCTATACCTAATCTTTCCTACTTCCACTGATACTGTTACTATTGCTACTATGACATTTATCTTGATCACTTCATCTCACAGTGTTGATGTGGTGGAACAACTTGAAGTGATGCACAAATGTTCTGATTTCTGCGTTGCTTATAACTTACAGGTTGATTTACATGAAACCAATGCTCGTCCTAAGGATTCTTTTCAACTGCCTAACATCGAGTAATAAACTACATATGTTACAGAAAGAGTAAACTGACAATTACAATGAGACTACTTTGCATACATTATATAGAAAAGTGTTCATTTCTGTACTAGACATGGATAATGAAAGTTATTCTTTTTTTAGAAATCAATTAACTTTTGCTATTGGCTACTGATTAGAATCGATAATTCATGTTTCTGCTTTTATCAAACATGTTTTCTAGACATGTTTACCTCTTGATCAATAGATATTTCCATTGATATTGGATCTAAATGAACGGTATTAATTATGAGAGTTATATTGTTTAATTATATCCACTAATATATTCACTGTATATATTAGGACTTCTCAGGTATCATCGTAATACATGCGCACTGGTTTCTACATTAATGTTATCACTTTGGTCAGTGTATAAGTTATTAAATGATAAGTTTTTGATTAATTTGCACTTATAACACATGCTCAAATTAAAAAAAAGAATCTCACTGATCTCCCATGTAAACCCTCATTTGAGTATTATAGTAGTCAAAAATGAAGATAATTCGCTTATTTTCTTAAAATAAAACATTGAATTCTAAGATGGTGGAGAAGATTTGTGGCTCAGGTGGATGATTTTGGTGGAGTTTTGTTCTCTGAGCTGGATGGTTTGGTCGTGGAGCTTTCATCGTTCTTCTGAACGACATCATCAGCACAAACTTCAGATAGAAGTGAAGTGTTTGAATTTCTCCATATGTGTCTCAAAGCTTGTTCTGTGCACCTCGACGTTGATTGGTTCTTATTGACCTTAAATTTGTCGTTGTTTACTTCTTTGTTTTGGTTGTGTCTCCCATTGGTTTGATTTTTGTTCTTATGTTTGTGCATGATTTTTCTGATTGGCTGATAAATTGGATTGATTTCAATATGCTTGTTGATTGCTGATTGACCTGAGTGCCAGGCTTCTGAAAATTCTCTGGTGTTTTTGGAGTTTCCTCTGTCTAAGATTTCCACATTTTTCCAATCGAATGAGTGTCCGCAGTTGTCCACGTGTATTGATATAAGTGAAGAGATATCATGCCGTTTGACTGGTAATTGATGTTCATGTAGGCGAAGGTGAAGGGGGCGTCCCCATATAAATTATCTTCTCAGTTTTAAAAGGATAAATTTATATTCTACCCATATAAGATCTTTAACCTTGCGTTAAATATGATTGTTTTTCTTAGTCATATTCAGAGAACTATGACATGGCATTTTCGTATTCGATATACTCTAAAAATCATTCCTGACCGAAATGAGAATTAGGAATTTAGTGGCTTAGAAAATTACATCACGAACTGACTTTAGTATAGACAATCATTCGAAACTTGGGAGCATTAGATAAGTGCTTCGTTTAATTATGGAACACCGTAGCAGTACACATCAACGACTCCATCAGGGATCGAACCTATGACCATGTGGCCTCTCAGCAAGCGCTGAATCAGCATCCAGTGGTTTACTTGTTTAATCCCAACGAGTGCATGATATCACGCGATAATCTTTCATTGTCATCGATGGGTAACTGCCTCACTCAATGTGGCTGAACTCGGCTGATCACGGTTAAACTCTTGCTGCGAGGCCTGAAGGTCGTAGGTGTGGAGTGTTAGTAACGTAAAGCAGCTTCTTGGTTTTTCATTGGCTGTCTAATTAAGGTCATTCCTTGATGTAAACTATGAAAGTCAATAATCACCACAAACGCTCTATAATAGTAGTTCTTTCCTTTTCATCAGAAACTTCAGTCAACGTAAAAGTAGAATGGAATAATGTGCCATTTTTAATTTATACTATATGTAACCTTGTTTTTACAGTACGCATCTTCTTAAATCTTTTTTTTTCCTTTTCAGCAATTCGAACTCATCTGCCGGTATACGTACTAGTGTATCCAACCGTTGGACTAAACTAACTTCATTCAATAATTCCAATAATAATAATACTGTGAGTAGTACTAGTCACAGTACTGACAGTCATAGTACTACTACGAACACTAATACTACCAATACTTTTAATACTTCTAACAATGGAATAAGTGTTCCTTCAGCATTCAACACTACTTTAGATACTAGTCATAACTCACCACCAGAAATTGAAATAAAAAAATCTCAATCTCGAACAAAAAATTTACGTTTCAATTTTCGTCGACATTAGTAATATTAATCATAATAATAATGATCATTTTATCACAATCTACACATGATACACAGTTTGTTTGTTTTTCCTTCTTTTATTTCCTTTCAATTAATGGGGTAACATTCCAAGATTCTGTAATTTATGTGATTATCAGAGGAATAAAACATACATCATTTTTGAACCTACTTTTATGTTTTGGAACAATGTTATTTTCTTATGATCTGTACTCATTACCATTATTTATTATTATTATTATTATGTATTTTTATTTATATTTATGATTGACTTGTAATTTATCTTCTTTGTAAACATGAACATCAAGTATTTTACAAATGATACAACATAATTCTAAGTGAGTGTTTTCATTGATATATATCTGTCTTGAACAATATCGACAAATATGGTAATAATCGGTGGTTGGCGTTCTTGATTTTTGGATCATCTATTCATCGTAAGATTGTTATTACTGTAACTGATATGGGTATTATTGACTTTATTATTGTAATTTATATATATATATATATATATCCCTAAAACCAATATGCCTTAACATATCAGCTAGGCTGTGTTTTGTTTGTTTGTTTTACGAGTGATATTTTAAATGTTTTTCTTTTGTTTTTATCTCGAATGTTAATCTCCCTTCTTTTTCTCTTACTTATTTACTGATTAATGTTTCTCGTTAAAAGTTGAGTTTTGTAAATTTCATGTTTTGTCCTGTTTTTTTCTAAAGAACCGTTTTCATATGTTTATAATTGAATAAAAAAAGAGAACGATCAAACCTCTTAGTGATTATTTTATGTTTATTTTACGATTCTTATAAAAATCAAAATAGCAACTCTACAATTTTGTTTTTGTACACAATCATAACAAATTCACTTTTTCTATTATTATTATTTTTGAACACTTTAAAATGTTACTGTATAAAATTGATGTTTTTAAGTAATGTATGTACGAATGCTTAATTGTTTTTGGTTTTTACCCTGTTCGAATTCATTTGATATTTCTTTGTATAGATGGAGGGGGAGTTTGTGGTGATTGTTGAATTGTCATAGATTGCATTTATTTAAGCAATCATTGAAAACTAGGAAATACTGGAAATTTGTTTTGTCCTGTTACAAGACTCAATAGTGGTCATCCATAACCCACCGGCGATGGGACCTATTCTAGGTCGAAATAACTGCCGATTGTTTCTCTTTTTTTTAAATTGTCTAAGGCCAGTTCATAATGTAAACTATAAAAATTCAGTGGGTTTGTAGGTATCAAGATTGTATTTTGTAGATTCAAGTAAATTAATCATTGGGTTAATTTAGTTCGGTTTCTTATTTACTCCAAAGAAGTGGCCCACACCAAGTCACGAAACGTCAGAAATACAATTTCTCTACTCATTAGGATATAACAAAAAATATATTTATTGCATAACAGCATTTCGAAGTATGTATTAAAAACACTTGTTATATAATTCAGATTGTTGTCTTTCGACTCATTGATTATTGTAATATCTCCAACCGTTCAAATTTAACAGTCAATCAATTATAAATTAATTGTTCAGTTTGGTATTAAAAATGTCTTCAGTTGTGTACATATGACAGAATGCAACTATTTTTCAGTTCTTGACACACAGTTCAGTCCCGAAATTCGAACGAAGCAATTGTGCAACGAACTTTAGAATATGACAAAATAATAAAATTGGATAATTTTATTCTGCATCAGTAAGTCTCAACATACATAAGGGAGAAAGTAAAATCCTAAAACTCCCACATATCTTGACAATATTACCGATGAACATGGAGGATCAGATGCAGACGCAAAGGCAGGGATTGGCAAAGCACGGGTCGCATTTCTACAACTGAAGTACATATGCAACTCAAAACAACTGTCAACCAACATCAAAGTCAGAATCTTCAATATGAACGTCAAAGCAGTTCTGCTGCACGGGGCTGAAACTTAGAAAAATACCACAACCATCATCAAACTGGTACAAGTTTTTATAAACAGTTTTCTACACAACATATTGAGTATCTGTTGACCGGATACCATCAGCAACAACCTACTATGGGAGAGAATAAACTAGGTTCTAGATGAGGAGGGAATTAGGAAAGGATGTTGGAAGTGGATGGGACATAGGTTGCTGAAATAATCAAACTGCATCACGAGGCAAGCGCTAACTTGGAATCGTGAAGGGAAACGGGAAAGAGGAAGGCCGAAGAACACATTTCGCCGGGCATCGGAAGCAGACATCGAAAGAATGAATTGCAAATGGGAACAACTGGGAAGGATTGCCGGGGGAAAAGGTGAGTGGAGAATGCTGTTGGGCGGCCTCTGTTCCTCCAGGAGGGTAATATGCGTAAATGCCTATTTTCTACTCACGCGTTAAGTAATTAAACCGTAGGGAACATAGAACTTGGGACATACGTGTATCGTGTAGTGGATTGTCTTCTTGAAAATGCCTAAGGCTTCATATACCACTCGTCCTGATGATTATTTCTAGATAACTCCTAACAGTGTATAAATTTCAGAAGATAATACGAGGCGTTAACTAGTTTATTATTGTACAGCGCATATCAGTAAGCCACAACCACACATCAAATTCTAGCAGAAATGCGAATGCGAGTAAATGCCAGCCAGGAAAATAGGCGTATCAAGAGTCGAATGAATTGATAAGATTCAGGCACACAGGAAAGAGAATGATCACATATTCACCATTCATCAGGTTCTAGAACATACTGATACTTATCGGCGTCCGACAATGGTGATCTTTCTTGACTTAAAAGCAGCGTTTGACTACGTAGACCGAGTGGTTCTGTGGCAGTGTCTGTCATTGAAAGGCGTACCTCAGAAGTACATAAACCTTGTGAAGGCTCTTTATTCGAACACTACTAGTCGAGTGAGAGCTTATGGCGAACTGTCATCTGATTTTGAAACCTCAAGTGGTGTCCGGCAAGGCTGTCCACTATCACAATTTTTGTTCAACTTCATCATAGACCTGCTGCTGGAAATAACGTTCTCGTTGACTGAATTTTCGGGCATCGATCTCCTTCCAGGAGTTAGTCTTATCGACTTAGAATACACAGATGACATAGTCCTGTTTGGTAAAGACGCTGATAAAATGCAGTGTTTTGGTAGCACTGAGCAACAATTCCAGGATGTTTGGGATGCGTTTCTCCCCCTCCTAAAGCGAATCGTTGCTTCAGTCGAACACGTCGACAACTCCATCTATCTTGGAAGTCTGATTAACCCTGATGGGTTGGTGTCTGACGAAATCTCATTAGTGATTAAGAAAGCTCGTTTGGCTTTTGCCAACTTACGTCACCTACGGCGAAGGTGAGATATCCATCAATCAATTAAAGGACGATTATACTGTGCAGCAGTTCGTTGTTATACTTTACGGCTGCGAAACGTGGCCATTAAGAATAGAGGTTACTCGTAAGTTGCTAGCACTTGATCACAGATGTCTTAGAAATATTGTTCGCATCCGCTGGGATCACGAGATAAGTAATAGTGAGGTTAGACGCAGGGCATTAGGGAATGATGGCAACCACATAAACGAAGAGTAAGAAGGAGAGCAAGAAGTCTTGTATGACTCCGGTACTTACTTGAAATTCGTCTGTCAGCTGCCCCAATGCACGACGTTTTAGTGTAGTGCATCGTATCAATTCCGTATGATAATGACGATCTTCTCAGGTACATCAGTGTCGAAGAAGTTTCTATAATGTTCTCCTATCCACACTGTCAAATGCTTCCTCATAATCAAAGGAGTTAATGTGTGGTGACGAGCTCCACTCAACTGATTTGTTCAACGATCATCAGTAGTGTCGCGATTAGGTCTGTTCACGACCGATCCTTACGGAATCCAGCCTGTTGATCTCGAAGTTGGGTGTCTACTGAATCTTTCTCTCGGTTCAGCAACACTCTGTTGAAAACCTTTCCTGGTACTGATAGTAGCATGGTGCCTCTGTAGTTTTCACATTTGCTCAGATCTCCTTTCCTTAGTAATTTGATTAGATATCCTTTCCATTCTGTTGGCACTTGTTCCTCTTCCCAAATCTTGCCGAATAGAACGTGGGACATGTTTGTGGCTGAGTTTCTGTCTGACTTGAGTGCTTCAGTTGATATATTATCAGGTCCTACTGCTTTAATACTCTTGATTTGTCTGATGGCCATGTTGATACGCTCGATCGTTGATGGAGTGACATCTATAGAAAAATCTTTGTGTGCTGCTTCGATGTCCGGTGGATTCAATGGAGCCGGCCTATTCAAGATCATCAGTGTTCTTACCCACCTGTTTCCCTGTTCCCTAATCTGTCATTGTTGGTTGCATAACATTGGAAAACATTCATTGTGATTCCCTCCTTCTTTGTTTTGAAGGACGCTTTCATGATCCTGAGTCCATGAGATTCCCATCCTATAAGTGCTTTACTTGCTTCCTTGGACAGCATCAGAACAACTCCCTGAGCGTGTGAATCATTTTCTTCTTAGTGACTAGAGTACAGCAGCATCTCTTCCAAATCTATTTTTTTCTGTCCAGCTAGGGTTTAGTGGGTTTCACTGATTCCGAGCACTGTCAAGTTTATCTCCTCAGTTCCGTAGATATTGACCGGCCCTCCCGGTCTCCCACATTGTCCGAACATTTTATGTACCTATAAAAATTGTTGTTCTGGTTGTTAGAAGGAGCATAGACCTCATGACTTCCGAAGAATCTCGGCTTTCATCATGAGGGGTCATGATTCTTCCTTCAACACAGAGGGCAGAGTTTAAACGGTTTAATTAGCTTAATCTAGTTAGCGTTTTTTTAGCAAGGTTTTTTTCTACGGGATGGGGTCGGTGACTCCATGCCCAACCCTCCTCCTTTACCAAAGCTTGAGACCGGCAGTAACTCTAGAAGAGCTACAGGCGAATTTTAAATAGGTAGTTGTGTACGAATTATTATTTAAGGCAGTCTACGTTGAGTGTTAACTCTTATTATTAAGACATCATTAAGTACAAACAACTGAATCCATATACATTAGTGGGTAAGAGTTTATGACATTCTAAAGAATAAGTAGATTATCATTTGTAAACCATGGAACCAAGAAACAAAAAGGCAGCAGTCCAAGTATACATTTGGCAAAGAGATGTTTTATTGAAAACGATAATTAGACAAAAGCATTCACAAATAAATTGTAAATAATTAGTGTAAAAATGTGGTATCGAAGTTATTTTGAATATGAACGGAAGAAAATCTCCAGTTCATTAAGCTACATATTTGGAAAATTCATCCTAAGCAATGAGTATGCTGAGAAAACAAAACAAGAAATTACTTGTCAGTATTATGATAAAGAAAACTGAAATAGTAAGTCAACAGAAAAATTCAACTTCTCGCAAATTTCCTAAATATCATTTATTAGTTACGCTGTTTTATAGTTTCAATAGATTAAAACTAATTTTAGTGTTAGTTGTATTCATTACTATGATGTGAATATTGAAAATTTTACTTTGAGATTTATTGATTCTATTCATACTACATTATCTTTGTATAACCATAGCTAACTATCCTTCAATGCGTTCACAATGTGAAATTTCCTATTGTCCAAACTAATAAACATTAAAGTAACATTCCGATCTATACGATACACAAAGATAGTGCAAATTTAGACTAAAATCAAACCATATTATATCTACATCATTCTCAATAAAAAAACTAAAGATAAGTAGAATGTTATGCAAGAAAACTGAGTGGTGTAATGACCAGACTTGTTCTCATTAAAACTTCCATTGTATGTCTATTTTAATAACTTAATAATTATCAACCAAGACTGTAAGTAATCGAAAAGTCAGTCGTGAATTCCCTCGAATGTTTGCACAAGGTGGGACCACTAAGTGACTTATCTTGAGGTCAGACCTACTACGCAAACTTTAAAAATTTCTATGAACATTTATAGAATGAGGCGATTATGATATCTTTACAAATGCAACTTGGAAGCTCAAAGAATTAATATTTGTAGATAAAAAAAAATCACACAAACTACTTGATATGATGGAAAGAAAAGTCAATTTTCGATTGAATTACTCATAATGAGTTTTATTCAATAGTACATCCGTTTTGATTAAACGTGAGGATCATTCAGTGTAGTGAATGATCCTCAGTGTAGTGTCCCCAAATGCCCTGGTATGGCCGGGAGTGGGGTGGGCCCGCCTTCCCTCTCGAAATGCTCTTACACGGCCACGCGTATACAGCCTCTGCCAGGGAAGTCCTACTCACTGTCTTCTCGTGGTGGGGGTGTTGTTTACGAAATTGAGAGGACGAAAAGCGAATGTCCGGCGCTTTAACCGGATTCAAAACCAATGGTGCACATGGCCTCCAGTATCCTGCGGGAACAAATGGCGTATGAACCAATCGTTGGTCACCGGCTACCATGGGACTGCATCTCCTTACGATGCTCCACTGCCTTGTGGGTTAGACCTTTAGGTCAAAGGCTCGGGGTGTGGCTCCCTAAGAAAGCCACCTGCTTCGGTTTGGGCACCCGGGCAGTATCACAGCCGTCACACATATCGAATGAGATTTGTGTGACGCATATCTAGTTGGTGCCTCCTTGTACCGATGTTTATGTGTTTAAATAATAATAATAATAATAATAATAATAATAATAATAATAATAATAATAATAATAATAATAATAATAATAATAATAATAATAATAATAATAATTCAGTGTAGTAATTGATTTGTTTTCCCAGTATGATATTTTCTTCTGTATAATATACGATGTTCTTGTATTCCATTGACATGAACTATGCTCAGTATGTGATTTGTTATATATGTGATAACATTTTAATTATTAATCGAAATGGGTGTACAATCAATATATAAATGAGTGTATTTTCTACTAGGGTCTTCATAGTGTTTTGGGGTTAATAAATCATCACTTATACCAGTCTTTGTGTTCTTACTTTCGCGTCGTGCGAATTGCAGGTCCCTTATTCCGAGTATAAGTGTTAAATGTTTCCGACATAACAATCAGCGACGACCAGATACAAAAAAGTAGCACTAAAAGAGCCAAGATAATAAGCATTCAAACGACAAATTATAAATTTCGATAGAACAATGAGAAGACGGAGTTGATCTGAAAAATGTGATGTATTAGCGCTATACATTTCGAACAATCTGGACAAATTATAACACTACTGAAATTTTATCCAGAGGAATAATGGTCAACCTCAAACGTTTAAACAAATCTTATTTCCATCCACGAAACTCGATGGTATCGTAAAAATGCATGAATAATTCTGAGAAACACTTTAACTTACGAACATGAAACAAAACAGAACTGTACTTTTCACCATGAAAGAGGGTTAGAAATGATAAATAATCCGAGTTTCACAAATATTTAACTCATTACCAATATTTCAAACTGCTAAAAAAATCTAACTAACCTAATAAGTGCGTAGTTTTGGAGGGACAGTTGGACAGCTCTTAGAATCCAAGGTGGTATCAATTACAGGACGATATTCCAATTTTACAGCACCCGTTTTAACATCCTGATAAGACAGAGTATGTTTTCGCCAATGTTCTTCAAATGGCTTAGGCTTTTGTCCATCAATAGGTTGAGAGTAGTCGAATTCATCTAATCGATTAGGAAAGTCTTCACGTGCATGAGCACCACGCGATTCTCTACGGGCTTCAGCTCCAACAATAGTCTAAAATTACATAAAGTTAAAAGCACATGAGACTTGGTATGTTTCTCACGGTAAATGTCCTCTTCAATATAACTGGAAATTTAGTGACAATTATTGGTCGCTTTTTAAAGATATTTAATAAATACAATAGTGCACTTTTGAACCATATAATTGATCATGCAGCTCATAAAAGAAATAATCTATGAATGGTCAGTATTAAGGGAAACGTACTTTCTACAAGAATTCTAATAAACACTGAATGAAAATAACATAGTACTGAATATTTAGTGTGAGCACCATTTACGACTAATAAAGATGACAACATCCATCAACTTAAACAATAAAGTTCGGGAAATATACTCATTCCAATTATATAAACATTAAATACTGTTATGTGATTTAAAGTAAAATAGTGACTTCATATTGTTGATCACGGAGTTGAAAGTTTCTTTCTAGTAATTTGATTCATATCACCTCTTGATTTAAACATTTCAACTAGATCACTTATCAGTTCGATCACCCTCCGATTGTAGCTGCTAACTTAATATGATGCTAAGGCTTGCCTATCACAATGACCCAATCGAGCTGTATTAGCTGGAAAAATGTTCTTTCAGCTTCTACCATCCCAAACCGGTCGGTTGGGAAACGGTAAGACTGATGGTAGTAAGCTCATAGTCTGAGGGCGGAGGCGTACTCCTGACTATTGAATCGTGATGGTGGGGAGGTGTTTCCTTTAGGCAACCAGGATCTACAGAGATACTGCCTCATCACAACATAAGGAAGGGGTTTAAAAGGTCGGTATCACATCTTACCTCATGGAACTCCATGGTATGGCCTTTTGAAACTCGGAGCCAGCACACTACAAACTTCTCGCAGAAAAGCCTTGTGACCGACCTCAAACAGCTGTCTCTTGAGCTCTACAGTCAAGCTTCCAGGTTGCTGTGACTACTACTAACCCAGTTTCCATTACAAACCCCTCAAAAAGAAATATCCTTCCGTGATGTAGGCAACCGGCTAGTGACAACCTTCCTCATACTTTTAACAGAACTAGAGAATGGTTGACAGAAGGCACATAGACTTCGCACTGACTGACTGATTGACTGTGGCAGTACTAAAATCCCTGTAAGGTGCTGTAATTCTTCACCAAGTAATTTTCCATGCTTACAATAAAATTACTCAGATTTTATATCCTTGGGGTGCAGTGAAATATAAGGGACTGGAAACGTAATAAAAACAAGTGGTCTGTTTGAGCTGATACATACAATTGACTCGCTTTTTGAAGTAGCACTTAATTTAATCATATTAAGAACATAATAAGAGCCTTCTGTAATACCGAGTAAATATGAAAAGTCTAGTGCATGAATATACCATTACCTTCATCAAATAACAGAAGCAAACTCAATTTGGAGTGCTGTGAAACTGAATTGACTGTGGTGTTTTTTGTTATATGGAACTATAGTTTATGGACTTAATGATCTGAAAGTTGTATTCATGACAGATTAATTGTACTCTGGAAGTCATATAGAACTAGGGAATACTGGGCAGCTGTTTAACCCTGGCACGGGACTCCTTAGCAGTGCACAGCCACGGATCTGCCTACGATTCGACCCAAGACCTTTAGGTCTTACCGTTAGAATCACTGGGTCGACGTTCAATGAATTGATTTGCGATATGGTGTGGTGATTATACAATGCTATTGATGACCTATCAGTTAACGCAGTGTAAATGGTCCATATTAGTTCAACAAAAGAGCAGACTAATACAACAGGTCATAATTTTAAACCGCAAAATTAATTATGTACACCTTTATAAACATACATACGTAGCAACTATGTTATACCACAGGGAAACGTACCTGTAAAGCGTTTAGCATCAGATTCTGTAATTCTAATGCTTCCATTAGATCGCTATTCCATATTTTGCTGCGATCACTAACTTTTAAATCATTCATTCGAGAAGCATATAATTCATACATTTTTCTACAGCCCTCTTTGAGAGTAGGACCATCACGAAATACTGCAGCATACTCTTGCATTGTTCGCTGCATTTCTAATCGAACCTACGTTTTAACAGAAAATTCAACACTGTAAAATGTATGCATGAATATAGGCAAGTTGTTTGTGTGTTCGGTACATTCTTAATTATCGGAATATTTAGTAAATAGTTTCCATTTGTCAAATTTGAAATAAAGCTTTAAAAACTAGTTGCACAGACCCTTATTTTGAGGACAGAATGAAAAAGTGATCGCATGAATCTTCACATTCATAAGACCAGATTAGCCCTAATTAGTTAGACGCCTAAGATACCTAAATATCTACAGAATGGTATGTATGTTACTCAGCAGTCTATTTAAAGGTACTCCATGACCGAAACATGATCCACTGGGTCCAAGATACATCAATAGATTACAGGTAATCAACTGAAGGTGCCTTGTGTGGCAAGGAAGACTGGTTCAGCAATCTTAAGTTCAGAGTAAACCCTCAAGTGGAGAAGGTAATCTCAACAGATAAATGTGTAGACCTAAATCAACTGAAATAGATGGATTATATTGTATTCGTGTTATTAAGATTAGTTTAGGGAGCAACTAAGGGTGGATAGTGAAGTAACAGATTTTTCACCTGGATCAATATAAATAGATGCAGGTTCTTCGTATGATTCTCCTGCCCTCAGGATGACAGATATCATCAATTCAAGAAAAGTCTAAGTTTATCACAACAGAGATTAGTAAGTTTATTTCTTTTTATCGTGTAGCGAATCTCGAATTTAATGCTTTTTTTCTTTTTAACCCACATTGACTGTATTTATTTATTTATTTATAGCGTGATTCTCTTCCACCTGATAAAATACTATAATAAAATCACAATTGATTGATCACTGGGTGGTGATCAATGTCATGTGTGTCAAGTCCTTATTTAGTGCAGATTGAATGCTATCGATCATGTTGCAATGTGGCCACCATTTTAGGTGACTCGACACTGCGGGCACTATATATTGAGATTAGATGGTGGTTGGAGGTAGTCGATAGGAAACTGTAGACCCGGATTTCGTGCTACTTGGCACTCGTCAGCAAGGTGTACCTGTAATTTTGAGGGAACTGGTGCTCCCTGGAGGATTCGATCCCGTATCACCCAGCTTCACAGTCAGAGACGTTACCACTGAGCTATCCGGGCCGCAACTGACTGTGAAGCTGGGTGATACGGGATCGAATCCGCCAGGGAGCACCAGTTCCCTCAAAATTACAGGTACACCTTGCTGACGAGTGCCAAGTAGCACGAAACCCGGGTCTAGAGTTTCCTATCGACTACCTCCAACCACCATCTAATCTCAACTATAATAAAATCCACAAAAGCTTGGTTTTTATTAAGGTCATTAATTTAAAAACTTTCAACATGTAATAATAAATAAACCACTCTGAAGAAGTCACTTACATTAAGTCACGAGACGTCAGAAATACAATTTTTCTACTCACTGGGACATAACAAAAATATATTTATTATTAACTCAATCTATATAAAACTATCAAGTCCAACCTTGGTATGAATACCTATTTCAACACGTAATCCATATGCTTAAATTCATTTCCAGCTACGGGGTTTTTACAGCAAAATGGTGTTATCAAGTGGCTCGAACCCTACACTAAACTGGGAAGTGGTACATAAAAAGTAAAGCCATACTGTTCAGTTTGAGGTGAAAAATCGGGAATATTGAAAATATCTCAGTAAAAATTAAAGAAATGCTACAAAAAATAAAGCTAACTCACTTGTGCAATTGGATAATTTCCATTTGCGGTCCGGAGTTTTTCATAGTTAGCGATGGAGACCTCCCCGGTATCTGGTTTTAACTCTGGACCTGCGTCTCCAGGCTTATTTTTCGCAGAAATGTCAAGCGCACATGCACGACCAAACACAACTATGTCAAGTAGTGAGTTGGCACCTAGTCTATTAGCGCCGTGAACCGATGCACAAGCAGCTTCACCAGCAGCATATAGTCCAGGAACAACCTTATCTTTCTTAGCAACCGGATCATAAGTCAGCACCTACAGAGTAACGCAACATGTACTGATATAAATTCAAGTTCTTTTCAAGTACCAGCCTTTAAAGAGAATTAAGTGAGTTATTTATGTAGTAATAAAACCGAAGATAAAATAATCACTTGTTGTTAGTCGTGAACATTAATTTATTCTTATGAAAGTGTTCCGGTGTCAACGTTAACGTTATATTATTCTACTTAGACAGTTTACATGATGATTATGGACTAATCTATTCCGATAGAAGTCATGACTATCTCGAATTTACGAGAGTGATTAACAGACATGTATATAAAATGGTTGAGGTAGAGAAAAGTAAAGTGTAAATCGTGTAGGGTGAAGCATAAATGTACATCAGTTTAAGTTGCTACACTTCAGACCAGTATAAAAAGATTGTGAAAAAACTGAAAACGAGAAAAGTTGTAGGCTGGAAATCTTTCAAGATTAAACACAATGATACGCCCAAACCTTAGGAGAATGAAAACATTTGCGATCGATTTTGAGATACATCACTTAGTCTATGTATGAAGCGACTGTGATGATAAAACGGTTTCTTGTTCAAAGACGCGAAGGGTGATTGGCAAAATACAGGTCCTACTAAGTGAGGACTAATGTACACTATAGACCAACAGGAAGTTCGTAATGCACGCAACCCTGTAACGTTTTAACAAGCAGGATGATTTCATTAAGCACTTTAAAATCAAAATGAGACCTTTTTATTCGAAGGAATGGACGGGAAAATTGCGAATGGTAAATGATATGTTCGAAATTCCTTTATAGGTTGGTAATAAACATCAACTTAATATAAAGTCAGCTGACTCAATCATCATAAATAGGAAAGTGTTAATTAGTGAAACATTGCTCATCCCTTTAACTTAGTACATCTGAGTGACAAGAAGGCAGAAAATAGCGGACATTGGAAAACTGCAGTCTTTAAGTAACCGAAATGTCACCTTACATTGGATAGATACAAAACAAGTGGCACCCTTAGATTATCGCTTACGGTGCTTACAAGACATAGTTCAGCCTTATTACTTGTGAGAAATGTGCCAGATCCAAGTGTTTTTTCGTTAGTCTCTATAGTAATAAAAACTGTATACATAGCCTCTGTCTTCAAACGGCAGAGCCTAAAGGTCAACAAATGAACCAATACATTGTCAACCCCGTATAATGTGAAAAAGCCTTGCATGTCAACAAAATTTCTAAGAGAAAATCTTTAACTAACCTGTCCTTTATAGTTTGTAGGAATTCCCCCCATATTATAGTGGACGGTAGGTAACACAGGAATAGGATCCCTTGTAACATCAACACCTGCGAATATTTTTGCTGTCTCCGATATACCAGGAAGTCGACTGTGTAGTTGGTCTGCCGGAAGATGAGAAAGTTGCAAAAATATGTGGTCTTTCCTAGGGCCAACTCCCCGTCCTTCGCGAATCTCAATTGTCATCGCTCTTGACACAACGTCCCGAGAAGCTAGATCTTTAGCATTAGGAGCATATCTCTCCATAAATCTCTCTCCTTTACTATTAATGAGGTAACCACCCTCACCTCGACAGCCCTCGGTGATTAAGCACCCAGCCCCATAAATTCCTTTGAAGTTACAGGATATATCCGCACTTACCTGTGGGATGAAACTGAACAAACTCCATGTCTTGATTAGGCAACCCAGCCCGTGTGACCATTGCCGTCCCATCACCGGTACAAGTATGTGCTGAAGTACAGGAAAAGTATGTACGACCATAACCCCTATCTGATAAGAGCTAAGAAAAACGACATACCCTGTAGCGAGAACTGTATTTTTAGAACGGAAACGATGCAAAGTCCCATCCTCTAAACACACAGCAATGACACCACGACACTCGCCATTTTCCATGAGAAGATCCAATACGAAATATTCAATGAAATAAGTGGCGTCATAACGTAATGACCGGCCATATAATGTATGCAAAAGTGAATGCCCAGTTCGATCCGCAACTGCACAACAGCGATGGGCCTGACCGCCGCGCCCATAGTCTATGCTTTGACCACCAAATGCTCGCTGGTATATTTTGCCGTTCTCCAAGCGACTAAAAGGTACTCCATAGTTTTCCAACTCGATAACGGCTTGTGGGGCCTCTTCACACATGTAGTGAATAGCATCCTGGTCACCTAACCAATCGGAACCTTTGACTGTATCATACATATGGAAACGCCAGTCATCAGGCTCCATATTCCCAAGAGCAGCATTTATTCCACCCTGAGCAGCAACTGTGTGAGATCTGGTAGGAAATAATTTTGTTATAATTGCAGTTTTGAAACCCTCATTTGCGAGGCCAAAACCTGCACGTAAACCCGCCCCACCTGCACCAACAACCACAGCATCGAATGAATGGTCAATAATAGTGTATCCGCTAGTGTAACTTAGGTTTCGACATTTAAAAGACTGGTATAAGTTGGTCAAACGGTTCAACTTTGTAGCTTTACGGATGGCATTTAGAGAAAGTGCCAGATGAACCATACCGAGCGCGTGCTGTCAAAGAGCCAATTTTAAACCACTAACGTAATTTTCAGACTCAGTCTTCAGTCTTCAGTAATAAGGATAGGAGGTCTATCTACCTATAATAATCCTTGCAGTTTGTAATACTGTGGAGGTCCGAACTCGTTTTGAATATATTAACAGAAGGTGCTGATATTACGTGTTCCGGTAAAGAATTTCAGCAATTCACTAATCGGTGCGAGAAACAAAAATCCAGATGTAAACGACATGATCCCGGTTTTTGAACTTTCTTCGAATGTCCTCTCAAATGATCAGTTCTTGACGGAAGTAAAAGATAAGACATGTTAATACCAAGGTCATCGATCAGTATACGATAAGCCAATATTAGATCACCCCGTATTCTACGGTAAGATAACGGAAATAAGTTAAGGTGTCTCAGTCTGTCTTCATAAGATAGGCCAGATAGACCTTGTATCATCTTAGTACCTCGTCGTTGAACTCTTTCCAGCATCTCTGCTCCATACTTCAAACAAGGACTCTGCTTGAATTCCATATTCTAAATGTGGTCGCACATAAATCGGGTATAATAATCTAAACCATTCATCATCTAAATACCTTATAGCTTTTCGCAGCAACAGCCTTACAGTGACTAGTGGTTTTGAGATCACTGCTTAATATGACTCCTAAAACTTTATAAACTCCGCTTGTAGCTCTTCTAGAGTTACTGCCGGTCCCAAGCCCGGGTAAAGGAGGAGGGTTGAGCATGGGGTTAGCGTCCCCATTCCGTAGAAAACTAACTCGCTAAAAAAACGCTTACCAGAAAAAATAATCCAAACCATTTTAACTCTGCCCTGGTAGTTAGAAGGTCTTCATTTAGAAGAATTATGACGCTTCATGGTGAAAGCCGAGTTCCTTCGGAAGCCACGAGGCCGATGCCCCTTCTAACAACCAGAGCAAAAAATTTTATAGGTACATGAAACGTTCGAACAATGTGGGAAACCGGGAAGACCAGTCAAATAACAACGGAAATGAGGAGATACAACTTGGCAGTACTGGGAATCAGAGAAACCCACTGGACCCAAGCTGGACAGAAAAGGCTAGCTATACTCCGGTCACGAAGAGGAAAATGCTCTACACACTCAGGGAGTCGCTCTAATGCTGTCCAAAGTAGCACGAAATGCACTTGTATGATGGGAGTTTTACGGATCCAGAATCATCAAAGCATCATTCAAAACAAAGAAAGAGGGGGTCACAATGAATATTATCCAATGTAATGCACCCACCAATGATAGCAACGACAACATTAAACATCAATTCTACGAGCGGCTGCAGTCAATCATAGAGAAATGCCCAAGAAAGGACCTAACCATTTTGATGGGAGATCTAAATGCCAAAATCGGAATAGACAACACCGGATATGAAGATATTATGGGACGACATGGACTGGGAGAAACGAAAATGGAGAAAGATTTGCAAATCTATGTGCATTCAACAAATTGGTCATAGAAGGCACAATATTTCCACACAAGCGTATACACAAGGCTGCATGGATCTCACCGGACCACACTACAGAGAACCAGATAGATCACATCTGCATCAATAAAAAATTCCGAAGGACAATGGAAGATGTGAGAACCAAGAGAGAAGCTGATATAGCTTCAGATCACCACCTAGTTGTGGCCAACTTAAAACTGAAGCTAAAGAAAAACTGTACAACTGTACAAACAGCACTACAAAGGTTCAATACAGCCTTCCTTCGAGATACTGTCAAACTCAATGAATTCAAGATAGCTCTCAACAACAGGTTCCAAGCCTTACAAGATCTACTAAAGGAAGAAGAAACTACTATGGAGGACAACTGGAAAAGTGTCAAGGAAGCATTAACTTCGACGTATCAAGAGGTTCTGGGTCTAAAGAAGCACCATCATAAGGAATGGATCTCTACAGAAACACTGGACAAGATCAAAGAAAGGAAGAACGAGAAGACAGCAATTAACAACAGCCGAACACGAGCAGAGAGAGCCCAAGCACAAGCTGAATACATAGAAGCAAACAAGCAAGTGAAGAAGAGCATTTGAGCCAACAAGAAGAAATACGTGGAAGAAATAGCAACGACGGTGGAAAAAGCTGCAAGAGAAGGAAATATAAAACAACTACACGATACAACGAAGAAACTAGCAGGAAAATACAATAAACCAGAGAGACCGGTCAAAAACAAAGAAGGCAAGCCAACCACTGAAATTCAACAACAGCGGAACAGATGGGTAGAATACTTTGAGGAACTCCTGAATAGGCCGGCTCCAATGAATCCACAAGACAGCGAAGCAGCACACACAGATCTTGAGATGGTGAGGATGATTTTTAGCTCAGGTGGATGATTTTGGTGGAGTTTTGTTCTCTGAACCGGATGGTTTGGTCGTGGAGCTTTCATCGTTCTTCTGAACGACATTATCAGCACAAACTTCAGATAGAAGTGAAGTGTTTGAATTTCTCCATATGTGTTTCACAGCTTGTTCTGTGCACCTTGATGTTGATTGGTTCTTATTGACCTTAAATTTGTCGTTGTTTACTTCTTTGTTTTGGTTGTGTCTCCCGTTGGTTTGATTTTTGTTCCTATATTTATGCATGATTTTCCTTATTGGTTGATAAATTGGATTGATTTCAATATGTTTGTTGATCGCTGATTGACCTGAGTGCCAGGCTTCTAAAGTTTCTCTGGTGTTTTTGGAGTTTCCTCTGTCTAGGATTTCTACATATTTCCAGTCGAATTAGTTTCCGTAGTTATCCACGTGTATTGATGTAAGTGAAGAGATATCATGGCGTTTGACTGCTAAAACACGGAATACAATGGACAGCTCAGAATCAATTATACGATTTGGACTTCGCAGATGACCTAGCCCTACTATTCCATACCCATGAACAAATGCAGATAAAGACAGCCAGTGAAGCAGCAGTCTCTGCATCAGTAGGCCTCAGCATACACATGGGGGAAACCAAGGTCCTCAAATTCAAAACGAAGAACAGCAATCCAATCACTTTTGATGGCGAAACTCTGGGAGATGTAGAATCCTTCACATACCTGGGAAGCATCATCGATGAACAAGGTGGTTCAGATGCAGACGTAAAGGCGAGGATTGGTAAAGAAAGGGCCGCATTCCTACAATTGAAGAACATGTGGAACTCAAAACAACTTTCAACCAATAGCAAAATGAGAATCTTCAATACGAACGTCAAGGCAGTCAGTTCTACTGTACGGAGCTGAAACTTGGAGAACTAATACAACGCAAGATATTCAGTATCCATTGGCCGGATACCATCAGCAACAACCAACTGTGGGAGAGAACAAACCAGCTTCCAGGTGAGGAAGAAATCAGGAAATGATGGTGGAAATGGATAGGACATACATTACGCAAATCATCAAACTGCATCACGAGGCAAGCCCTAACTTGGAATCCTGAAGGGAAGCGGAAAAGAGGAAGGCCAACGAACACATTTCGTCGGGAACCGGAAGCAGACATGGGAGGACGAATAACAACTGGAAGGAGCTGGAAAGGATTGCTCAGGACAGGGTTGGATGGAGAATGCTGGTGAGCGGCCTATGCTCCTTCACGATGAGTAACAGGCGTAAGTAAGTAAGTAAGTAAGTAAGTAAGTAAGTAAGTAAGTAAGTAAGTAAGTGAGTAGGTGAGTAAGTAAGTAAGTAAGTAAGTAAGTAAGTAAGTAAGTAAGTAAGTAAGTAAGTAAGTAAGTAAGTAAGTAAGTAAGTAAGTAAGTAAGTAAATCTTTATAGTTTCAGTTTGGAATAAACAGGAGGCTAGATGTCCTATGTTAGTCCTGGGAATGGCGGTCTCACAGTTATCCAACTTTATTTTCAAAGCATCGGCAGATGGAGAATTAATCACGTGTTAAGGTAATGAATGCCACTCGTTGATGATTCAACGGAAAATTCGATGATTAACTGACAAATAATTTGTTATGAACTTACGAACTTTTATCGAGTCTCCCCGTACATTCTCTGTTTTGGAAAACAGAAAAAGTGAGGGCGTACCAAATCCAAAACTATCACAAAGTAATTTAACACTGTGATCAGGTCACCTCTGATTAGTTTAACCACGCTATCTTCATACGGAAGTTTCTCTATTCAGAGAATCATCTTGGTTGAGGCTCCTTCAACCTTTTCCGTTAACTCACTGTCTCTTTATAAGTAGAGGCTAGCCTCTTGTATGAAGATACAGAATTTGATTTCGATGTCAAAAGGCTGGACAGCTGTGTTGAACGCACTTCTGATATACTTTTACGCATCGTTATCCTCCTTTCCGACAAGTTTATTGCAGGCATTGACACTACCTAATCCGGTATGATTATAATGAACTGGTCAGATGACCCTAAAGTTTGAGTTTGGGGATTAACTGGAGGACGAGCAACCTAATCCACACGGGATACTCCCATGGTTGCTAGTAAAGCTTTCGTGCCTATATGTATCCTCCGTGCTATTGATAAAAGAAACCAGGCTAGTAGTGAATGGGTCTTTATTTACATCTTCAATGAAACCTTACTCTTATTTGTACAGGAAAAGAGATCTAGGAGAGGTCTCAGGTCATGACTAGAAAACAACTCCGAATCGCAGTGGCCCATATACCAAAGGTGTTTGAGTTGTAGTGGCAAATAAATCCCCGAAATAAATGGCTCTGTAAGTCGTCGACATTGGATGCTGACCACATTAGTTTTAATGGACTCACCTAGCTGAAGGCGCTCGGTCATGCATTCGCACCAGATCACGAGTAGGAACGCCATGCTCAACAAACCCTGCAATCGCCAGCCAGTCTAGATCAGTCGATCCTCGATAAATTGATAGCCTATCAAATATATCTTCGAATCTCCTCTCTTCTGTCTCTTGATTTCACTTGGTTGGTATGATTCGTAGTAGAAGGCGTTACTGGTTACAGCGTTGTCAAACTCCAAATACCTGTGGCATCTTCAGAGTTATGGTTACTTTGATCTGAGGAAGACACATCTCGGATTTTATACCTCATCTAAATGCGACCTTAC